TTGGGTAGAACACCAACTAGAAGTTGGGAAGCAGGTTCTTGATAAAGTGGCCTAAACCAAAGGCCATGCTCCTCCCAACTCCGTGAAGTCGATCTCATTAGACCACTTTCTTATACCGAAAGCCTGAAAGTAACAAAAATAGCCCATCTAACTATGAAAGTAACAAGAATAGCCCATCTAACTAGCTACGCTCCTCTGCTTCTGTCTCCGTTACCGCCTCAACCTTGTTGGATATGCCTTTTGTACTAATCATAAACTTTAAGAAATTACGAACTTAGCTGAGTGGCCCAAGAAAGTACAAAACAGGTCCAATTTAAGGCCCGTACCCAGACTACCTATTTTCTTTTGTTTTCTTGATTTTGTTTGACAAAGTGACATGATGCTTTCATCATACCAGCAAGCTGTTGCAACAATGAGAGAGAGAGAATTGGTTAAGTCGTTTCTTTTCTCTTGTTTATACTTTGCCATCCTTACAAATATTATTACTCAATCTTTTTTTTGCTGTATCGTTCTAATGTTATCAAAAATGTCTCCAGAGAGATAAAACGTTTATATATAGTTTTGTCACACATTTCAGCAAACTACTCTCTTGTGTGTATTCATCATGTCTACTGTTACTTTGGCGGCTGAAATAGAAATGTGGATACGGGTTATATACTAGTACTACGTAAGTGACACGGAGGCATAAGGATTTTATGGAATGTTGTTACTAAGAAGAATATTAATGCTCTTGTACTTGTTATTATTAAATTTTGTGATGTGATATTTTTGTACTTTGACTGTTGACTTATATATTTTGGATTTTGTTTGAACAACAAAACTAAACTAAAGAAAAAAAAAATGGTTGACTTGTCGGTGTTGAGAGTTTAACGACTTTCTTAGGCAAAGTCAGCCAAATTCTGCCACGTGTTTTAGACAAGATCTTTACTTTTCTTGTGTCTTTTTATTTAAAGTCGATGGCGAAATTCAAATAGAAGTAGAATAGAAGAAATGTAACTAACTTGCTACTCTTTTCACTATTTATGTCCTTTCCTAAACAACTTTTATATTTCCTCTCTCTATATATTTTAATTTTCTCAACCATTTTATTTGCCGACCGAACGAAATATTTTTATAGCATTTGTCTTTTGATGTGTTGTATATTAAATGTGATGTATCTTTTGTTGTGTTGAATCTCTTTGGGTCGGGACGAGTTTTTGTCTTTTGTGTATGAGACGTGTATGTGCCTTTGTGCTGTTATTATGAATACATTACATGGTTAAGATTTAAGATTTAATAAAAAAGAAGAATATAACCTATGGTTTATAAACGTAAACTTCGCATTACTATTTTCATTTTTGTTGGTAAACACTTTCTTAAATAAAGATTTAATCAAATAATAAAGTTTTTTCTTTTCTGTAAAGACTTGGTCTTGTATACCATTAGCTAGGCTATCTAGAAAATGGTTAATTTTCAAAAACCTTGGATTTTCTTGATAGGCATGCGGTCTTCTAAATTGAAAATATATCTGTCTTAATTAATACATAGACATGAAATATCCACTATATAGTTTGATGTTATGGAAAAATACAAGGATCACAATGTCGTATGTGTACTGTTAATGGCAACACAGATTCTTCGATTTGAAAAGAGCCTGATAATTTTTTTAAAAATATTAAGATTTTCAGTAGTTACTTTTAGTAGTTTTATATTTGATACAAAAATTCTAAATTTTCAGTAGTTATTTTTAATAGTTTATATTTAATATTATTTTAATCAAATAGTCCTTTTTTTTGTTCAACCAAATGTTTTTCAAGTGTTGGCGGTATTAATATTTGTTGATATATACATACCACAAGTTGTAGTACTCCATAGTAGACTTTGATTTTCAGTGCTTCTGCAGGCTAAATAAGACTGATCAGCCTTTGCATTGTATGTATGTAATTACATACGGATGCTCTGTTAAAATCATTTGCATTGGTTTTTAATTTGTTGTTAGTTAGAATTTTAAAAAGACTTTACCTAATTAGTAAGAACCCAATTTGGAATTCTTTTTTGTTCAAAAATATAAAAGTACCTTGTTTAGATACAATGAATCGAGTAATTCAATCAACATATAGTATAATGTTTTATAAGATAGTACTATATAAAGAATCTCAAAGATGCAACGCTTATGTCGTTTCTCTTAATATTTTGGGTAGATACATTAATGTTATATTATATAGTAGCCTTTATTTTGGCTTAGTTCATACTTATAATAGCCAGCATTAGAAAAAGAAATGAACATAGTATAGTTCGATTTGATCATGTCGACAACACCTTTTCAAATCATATTTTAATCTATTCAATGACAAGTGACACAACGGATCATCAAGTGAAGGTTTTGTATGCTGTTTCCCATTTATATTAAAATTATGATTGCGTAATCACGTGTTGTTTGCGACTAAGCGAGTTGCTTATCCGTACAAATAACATCTAAACTATATATCAATTGATAAAAAAACGCATTATAAAGTTTTTTCTTTTTTTTCGTATATCACTAACTTCGGATTATGACATCAAGTTGCGATGTCAAATTGCCAATTCTTGGGATATTTTATTTTACACTAGGGGCCACAGTTTCTAGAGTTTTTATTCTATTAACTCAAATATAACACAAGTACATGATTGAAAAAGACAATACTACTATTCTACTAATCGTTTGATTTGTCTCATATAAATCATGAAATTACATAAAGGTCATTATATATATAAATTTCAATTTATATAGATACGATAATTTTGAAAATGTACCTTTTTGTACGATTCTGAAATATTACATATATATCGGTAATCCGCATTCGTGATAGCAGTTTTACGTACCTAGTTTGATACAATATTCTTGTTATTTATATAAAAAGACAAGTTGATGAAAAAGACATACATTATCGTACGCCTTAACTTATAAATAAAGATGATCACGCCTTGTTAATTTGCAATGTTAAACTTGTTTTAAATATTACAAGTTGAATTGGGATATTCGCATTAGTAATCGGTAATTAATTCTTATATGCTTTAGTCGACGTGTTAATGCGAACTTACTTAGGGGATTAGGTTAGGCGATAGGCATACACACTTTGGGAAAACATGAAAATTAATTTAATAATCATTGAGCTTACGTATTTTGACCCATCTTTGAATACTCCTGTCCTTATACTTTATTTCTAAATTCCCAAATTCATTTTAATCTTACTAAAGCTTTTATATTCCCATAATGAATTAGGCATATGCCGGTGTTCTTACCATATATGTACTGAAATATAATTAAACAGGATTAGAATGTAACCATTATCAAACTGGGAATCTTATTTAATAAAAAGGGGAATGACAGGTGAAAAGCTTCTTTATCCAGATATCGTCGTCGTACGATAAATTTTTTTCAGCATTTTCAGAAAATAAAATGGTCATCCTGAATAATCAGTTAAATGGGAACTTTGAGCCATTTCTGTATTTAAAATTTTCAATACTTAGCTTTGTTAACCTGGATAAATAAATATATTTATATATATAGTTGCTACTGTTTAACAATTCGAAAGTGTTTACGGGTAAAAAGATTAAAAATAAAAAGCACTACGTACGTCAACTTGTGTGAGCAGTGAGCACACTTGCTTACATTGGTTCAAAACAAAAGTCAAACGATGCCGTTTCGAGATTATCCTCTCAAGTTGTTTACCCTGACGAAAATATAATATCAATATACTTAGTGTGTTCAGACTAGAACCTACGAGTACATCTGTACATATCTGAAGTTCTGAAACCAGCCTGAGCTTGAATGCAATGTGGACAAAAATATGTGTATTGCTTTCTTAACCAAAAAGGTTTTAAAGGCTCTCTATTCGACGGACGAATAAGAAAACAACTTTGTAAACTTGAAAGAGAAGAAAACTTTCACATTAAAAAACACGAAACTATTGGAAATTTGCAAGGGCTACAGTTAATATTATTACTCTCTATTGAAGGAAAGAAGAATCGAAATCGAAGAAGTGTTTAGCCAAGGTAGGTCAAACGGTCACATACTAATTTAAGAACATAGACACACAAAAAAAAAAAAAAAAAAAAGAAGAAGACGAAGGGGGTTGAAATAAGTGGGCCGTAGGGTGAGGCCCAAAGTCACGTGACATTTAGCCCTTTTCACCACCGACACCGTTTAAACGGAGCTTTTACGTCGACTGGAACCGACACGTGCGTCGCACGCGCTTTAGTACGGAACGGCTCCTCTCTCTCTCTTTCAACAACTTGACCTTCAAGCCCACCGTTTAGGCAAAATTCAATTATAATCTTTTACTCTATTTCATTTAATGGTTTTACCTCTTTTTCAGCAATTTATATTTTTTGAATTAATTAATCACCTCGAACCATAAATACAGTAATTAATATTCGTGTCTGAATAACTCTATATTTTTACAGTGTAATAATGTATATAGAGATCAAATCCCTACTAATCCATTATTACCTTGTTATTCTAATTATTACTAATAGACTAGCAATTTCTATAATTATTTTCTCACAAGTTGCAAAACAAAAAAAAAGCTTCAGATCGAATTTCATATAAAAGAGACCCAATTCAAACAAAAATATGTTCAAATTGACTTAAATCATCAAAACCAAATTTTCTTCTGTTATTATTATAGATCAAATATATAATATTGAGCTATTTGCTACTACTATTTTATATCTACATAAAAAAATAATAGAAAATACATATATACTTAAATGAAAGAAAATAAAAGTGAGGTACTTTCAATTCACACGGCCAAACCAAAACAGAGCGGAGCCGACTCATATTCAATTTCATTTGGCGGCGCTGAAACAAGAAAAATAAATCTCTTTTGCTATTATTATATCTATAAGCTTAAACCTCTCTTCTTTCTTTTGTCTTCTAAAACCTCTGCTTCTTCCTTTCTCTTACCTCTCTCTCTCTGTTATTTTGTTCTCTCTCTCTCTCTACAGAGTTTTCTTTCCCTCTAATTTTTATAAGTTATCAGGTTGGGTTTATAAGCTTTGAGTTTTCAACATATATAGGAGGAGGAGTTTGAGAAGCTAAAGGGTTTTGTATGTGTGTCTTAAAAGTGGCAAATCAGGAAGATAACGTTGGCAAGAAAGCCGAGTCGTCTAGTAAAGACAGAGATGATGATCATAGGACGTTGTCGGAAATCGATCAATGGCTTTACTTATTCGCTGCCGAAGACGACCACCTCCGTAATAACTTCGCTACGCAGCAGCAGCCTCCGTCGTCTCTTATGTCGGGTTTCAGTAGAGAGATGGAGATGTCTGCTATTGTCTCTGCTTTGACTCACGTTGTCGCTGGTAATGTTCCTCACCATCAACCTGGTGGCGGTGACGGTAGCGGTGAAGGGACTTCGAATTCCTCTTCTTCCTCCGGCCAGAAAAGGCGGAGAGCGGTGGAGGACGGTGGCGGCGGCAAAGCCCTCAAGGCTGCTAATACTTTGACGGTTGATCAATACTTCTCCGGTGGTACCTCTACTTCCAAAGGTACCATTTTCTTCCTTTCTTTGTTTTTTATTGGGTCTATATTGTAAACACTCGTAACCATTAATTAGTTCAAGGTACAAACCATTAGATACAAATTACATACCACAACAAAACATAATATTTATTTTTATTTTGTTAAGATTCAAATAGTGAGATCATATCTAATAAATGTTTTTAGTAAATTTATGATGTAGTTAATACATCAAGGTATGAGTCACATCATATGTTTGTAACACAAAATCTAAATACAGTTGCACTTTTGTTGTCCTCACGCAATCTACAAACCAACATGTCTTATATTGAAACAACCACGCTATATATACCATTTTCGTTCAATTGTTTAGGTTTTATTTGTTCTTTTCGGAAAACTTGGTGAAGTTAGAGGTACTTTTATCATAATGACTTAAACAGTTCAAATAAAAAGTGAAGAATAAAAAAAATACTAGTGATTAGTGTAAAGATGTAAATAAAATATGGGAAGTGTTGACAAAAATAAAAAATGATAATAAGAAAGTGTACTTGATTATCCTAAGACATATACTTTAGAATTGTTATAAAAAAGGTTTTAGATATTTAATTTAACAAAAATGATGATGCCAAAAGAATTTATCTCCCCCCAATTGCCTCAAGAGTCGTTTTCCACTTCCTTTTTTTTTATTTTTAGGCTTTCTACTTGTTCATTCCTCTTGTCACTTGCCCTCATCACTTTCTCCTAATCACTTTCTCTCTATATTATATATATTCGGGGTTTTTTTGTAGCGTAAAAGAAGTGTTTTACTAACGAGTCAAAACAAAAGTGTGAAATATGATATGATATGTTTGTTTGTTTGCAGTGAAGGAAGCTTCGAGCAACATGTCAGGTCCAGGCCCAACATATGAGTACACAACTACGGCAACTACAAATAGCGAAGCGTCGTCGTTTAGCGGGGACCAACCTCGGAGGAGATACAGAGGAGTGAGACAAAGACCGTGGGGAAAATGGGCGGCTGAGATTCGAGACCCCTTCAAAGCTGCTAGAGTTTGGCTCGGTACGTTTGACAATGCTGAATCAGCTGCAAGAGCCTACGACGAAGCTGCTCTTCGGTTTAGAGGCAACAAAGCCAAACTCAACTTCCCTGAAAACGTCAAACTCGTTAGACCCGCTTCAACCTCTGCTGCAGCAGCACTATCCCAAACCGCTGTTCAGAGGCCGACGCAGTCGAAAAACTCTGGTTCCACGACTCCCCTTTTGCCCATAAGACCTGCTTCGGAACAGACCATTCCCATTCATTCTCAGCCGTTGATGCAACAGTACAACTTGAATTACTCAGAGATGGGTCGTCAACAACAACAGTTTCAGCAGCAACAACACCAACAGTCTCTGGATTTATATAATCAAATGTCGTTTCCGTTACGTTTCGGTCACACCGGAGGTTCAGTGATGCAATCAACGTCGTCATCATCATCTCATTCTCGTCCTCTGTTTTCCTCAGGTGCTGCGGTTCAGCCACAGCCAGAATTAGTTAGTGAAACCGGTTATCTCCAGGATATACAGTGGCCATCAGAATCAGACAAGCCAAGTAACAACTATAATCATAGTCCATCCTCCTGATGGAATTGCTTCATTTTCTTTTCTTTTACTATAGAGCTATAGAAAAGAAGAAAAAAAAATTATATACATCTTAGGGTTTTTTTTCCCCCAAATGTTATAGGGTTTAGCTGTTTGTATTGCTTTCCTTCCATACTCGCATGTTTTTGTTATTTGTTTTTTAAATTTATCATATTTTTGCATAAGAATTAATTTTGTTTCGTTGTAACAAACATTGATAAAAAAGACGATAGAGAACGAAGAGTTTTGTATATAATCTCAAAAGGTTTGCTACAAAAGGGAAAAAAATATGTGTTCGAACCGAACAGAGAGAAACATTAGCACAATGATGGATGATTTAAAGAGAAGAAGAACCTGAAAGATTCTTTCCACTTTAGTGTGTGTGGCTAAACCCAGGTTTCTCAAGCTCTCAGTGCAGCTTTATGGACCATTGTTTCTTTGTGAATTTGGTGACAACTCTTCTCAACAAGGTCTAAAAGCTGCTCCAAATTTGTCGCCCATGAGTTGAGAATTTCGTTGCTGTCTTTAATGATCTGGAAGCAGATTATACCAGATGGTCTATCCATTTTTGCTATCAAGGCTTTGGACACAACCATTTCAGATAGATGCTTCTCTGCTTCCTGTGATTTATAATGGAACCAGTAATGAAAATATTGAAACATATACTGGTTATATATACTTACTTATATTGTCTATCTAACTAAATTTACCTCAGTGGTTAGGCACAAAAGTTCTGCAAGTCTCTTTAAAGTAACCCTTGAGTAATACTTCGAGACAACAAGAATATTCTGTGGAAGGTGTGAAGAATTTGTAAATTTAAGAACAATATCAATTGATGCAATCAATAAGATCGATATAGATTAGAGTTTAAAGAGTCTTTACGTGTTCGATTATTCTTAGTTTGAGATCTTCACCAGCTTTGTCACCCAACGAGCCTCCAATCATGCTTTTCTCTTTCTCAAACTCGTCCTTGAATTTGTTCCACAGAGAGGTCCACTGAATCACCTCCACTGTTACAATCTGCTTTAAAAGTATCCTGCAACACAATTGCAAATTTTTCTTAGATGGAGAAGAGTAGTGAAAACCCAAACAAATACAATATACATCAAGAGAAAAACGAGAATTACTTGAAATCAGGAAGTTCTGATAAATTTTTATCTTCCAAGGTTGCATTAAGCAGACTCGATTGCATCGGATCATGTGGTGCCAAGGCCAAGAACCAGCAGATCTTCCTCAGGACCTATGTTGGGAGGATCAGGAGATAAGTTAACTGAAGCTTATAATAGAGTGCAGGCTCGAGTTTCCAGAAAACAATATGAGACTTACTGGAATCCATTGTTCTGAGTTTTCCTTTACTGAAGGGATATCATATATGGCCTTGTAGCTACGGCATATCTCAAGGTATTCATTGTTGTGAGAATAATACCTACACAGTAGAATCCAAATTCAGAGTTTCAAAAACAAATTATGTCATAAATAACTGGCGACGAATGTGATAGACCAAAACAAGGCCATACCGAATCATTAGTTCATAGTAGATTCGCTTTAGCTCCAACAGCGTTGGTATATCAGCTGGAGCTTCCTCTACCATGTTTTCACCTTCCTTAGGTTTCTTTTTCTCTTTTTTGGTATCAGCATCAAACACTCTTGGGTTGATCTTCCTAGATAATATTTGAGCACGAACAAAATCTTGTCGATCCAAGCACAGGCGGACCTTAAGAAGTTTACGTCACCAATAATTATCACCACAAGATACAAAACAGAACAAAGCTTAAGGACTATAAAAAAAAGACAGGTCTTTTACTTGTTCAAGGATAAATGCAATTTTCTCAGTTTTTGCCATAGCACCAAATGTCTCCACCTGTAGGTCATAATAGATTAGCTACTGAAAACAAAAAAAAATCCAGGAAAGTTGGAAGCTAAAAACAGAAAAGCTTACCGCAACTTCTTGCATAAGATCTGCAGCTTCAGCAATTAGACCCTGTTCTTCCTTAATCTTGGCAAGCTTCTTGGTCAAACGAGCTCTCTCAATTTCAACATATATCTACACAAGCACACACAAGCTCATTGAGAAAATTTTCACGGAAAGGTTAAGATTCAGGCAAAAATATAACAATGAAATTCAAATCTTGCACCTTTCCAGCTGATACATTGTTTAAGGTCTTAATAAGCTCAACCCGAGTTTCTACATCTGGTGTCTCATCAATGTACTGCATTGCCTGTTGCACCATGGATTGAACAGCCTGCAAATCAAGAGACCTTCCCACTTTTAATATCTTAGTTCTAAAATTCAAATCCTCAAAAACATTCAGTAGAAATCGTTTTACGTAATCCTTAAACTACACAGCAGAACTCAAGCTAAATCAGTAAACAGAGATCAAAAACTAGTAACCTGCTTAAGCTGACCACGTTTCTTCGAGAGATTAAGAATCTGTTCGTTGAGAAGTTTCCAGTCCTTAGTCTCGAAACAAAGCTTGAGAATCTCCGTAGCGGCTTTTCTAGTTCCGGCGACATTCTCAGCGAGCCTCATCTGCTTCTCTTCGTTCAGAAGACGATCAATCGACGATTCGAGTTGCCTTGTTTCTTCCTGCAATCAAACACGACAACAGAATTTTTACAACCAAATTCCAACGAAAACAAAAAAAGAAGAGCTGAAACTTAGATCTGCTGAATCGGAGACTTGCCATTGCAATAAGCCGAGAAACAAAGCTCCGAGAGAGAGAGAGAGAGATAAGGAATAGTTGAAACTTCCGGTGACGAGAAGGTTAATGGTCGAAACCCAACCCCTTGAACAAGAAAAAGCTCCGACTTTTGTGGCCTAATTATACGTTTTTATTTATTCGAGACTTACCAAAAATATTTCTAAGACTAGTGGGGTACATCTGTAATAAACTTGACTAAATACGTAATCTACGTAGCTATCGGGTAAATACGAAATACATGAAGCTATTGGGTTATGTTATAAATAAAACTCTAGGGTCCATATATTATGTGGCCCATTTAAGTTTACTTCGTAAAAGCCCATCACTCTAGCCTCAGGCCTACAATATTACAAAACATACATTCAAGATTTGATGAGTTCATATTACTGTATGTCATAGGGAAATTATCAACTAATTTCTTACTTCAAAAAAGAAATCTAAACTTGTTTCGTTTGTCTTCAACGTGATGTCCAAAACATATACGTGATTCATTTTGTTGTGATGTGGGAGAAGTCTTGAAAGTAACGTAATCGTCAAATCTTGAATACAAAGTGTGAATCCCATAAAAACTCACGACATCCTCATGTGTATGTAAACGGATGAATATTCTCTCGATCTTGGATATGTTTGTGTGAGCATATATACTTATTCTTTTGAGTTTTATTTTCGCTTTGGTAAATCTTTAGATCTCGGATTCAAATCCAACGTCACACCGCTTGGGATCTTGATCTGCATGTTCGATGTTAATCTAGCTAGTGATTCTCTTTTTAGGTGTAATTTGCTTTTTGGAACTAATACAACATATAGCTGAAACTTAAAAGAAGATACTTGTGGTGTCTATATATATTATAAACCTTTATTCCACTCCATAAACAACAACCCATGATGTGCGATCCATACATAAAACACACAACACACACACACACACACACACAAACTACGATTTTATGATTTTTAACGAAAATCAAAATATTGTTCTCTCGAGATAAGGCTGTACACATATACGCATAAAATACAAACTCGATCATGTATTTTTATATTTTTCATATCGTGATAATAGTTTACATTCTCACTTCTTCTTTTTTTTTTTTAATATAAAATACAATTCTCACTTCTTAATTAAAGATAGAATCTCGGGATATCTTTGGATCGGTCCGGATATCTCACAAGAATTCGATAGACGCATATTTGTGTGTTATTTAGCGATTGTGTATCGGTCTTTTCTTGTTGGCAGAATTATAGTCCATATCCACCAATCCATCGATATCACTTCCACCACCACCACCTTCGTGCTTTAGCTTCCGACTCTCTTGAGCCTTCTCCACAACCAATAGCGTTCTATTATTCCTCACAATTTCTCGTAAGCTTCGTGCTGAAAAACCCAAATATATATATTTATATCAAACACTAATTATTTCATTATTTGGTAACATATATTTCGTTATTAATTCATCAAGAAAAGAAAAGTTTCATTCAAGTTTACGTGTGTGTAACACATATTAGCTTCAAATTTACCTTGAGTTGGACAAGAAATGAAGAGTATGAGAACAAGTGCCAGGAGGAGATGCTTGTAGTGTGAAGCCCTAATTGCCATTTTTTGGAAGAGACGAGACTTTGTTCTTCTTTTTTAGTTCTTTGGTTATATATCTATCTTTCTCGTTGAACTTTATATATAGGAGATGAATGGTTCTATGATGAACTTATGATCCCATTTTTATATCAGAATTAATAACGTTTTGGAAGTTATTGAGACATATGGGTCTACGGATTTGACCTCTAAAATTTCTCTGTCTTCCCACATTAACATGCACTTATTCTATCCCCACAAATATTGATTCTTCTTGTTTGCAAAGAAAATAAATGATGATAATATATGCAATCACTTCTTCTGAATGAGGAAGAGGGTTTCGGTTATAAACTGCTTCATTTCATGTTTCTACATAAATACCTACCCCGTTTTAGCAATGACATTGGTCTCCAAAGGTCGTAGGGAAACCACGAACGAAGATCAGTGACTTATCACCTCTGAATGCCTTTGCAGTCTCTTTCTCTAGATTTTACTCAATTTCCAAATTCTCAACATCTTACTTCTATCTATAATGTTATTATATACAAGATCAAAAAAAACTATAGCAAGAGGTAGTGAGGTTATAGAGAGGTTAGTAGAAGTTATAATAACTTTTCTTGTATAATTTTCTATCAACCTTACCGGTTCGAATGCTGTCAAATCATGGGTATAACTGTTCAAGACTACCTTAAACCAACAGTTTAATTAGTAGTTGTACTTCTACATTATATGTCTTTTAAACCATCCAGATTCTGTAAGCATATTGCATTATAATGCAAGTGGTCTATAAAAGATCGAGGAGACGGTTGGAGATCGAGTGGTCCTTTTGATCATAGTGGTCCTTTCAAAAGGAATATGATTTATCAGAAGTCAGAACATTGAAAACAAATGATTAATACGCAAGTCAATTAATGTATTTTCATTTAGTATATTATTAATAACCTGAAGTTTACATTCAATATATGTTCTGCATACGTATAAATACCTTTGTGTAGTCAATTGTGTACGAAGACGGATATTACTACCTTCATATATCGAGAGAATCGTAAAAGATCATACTGTATGTCTATAATACTCCCATAAAAGTTTGAAACCATTTGATTTATTGTTAGTTTTGGCCTTTAGGATTTGAATACAAGAGGGCACAATACAATAGGCTTAGCAAACTTACCAAATCATGAATGGGGTTTTAGCTCGTTGATAACGTGAAGTTTGGGTTAAAAAAGAAAAGAGTATATAATAAAGTGGACCACAAAAGAGATGTAGATTTGGGTAGGGGTCGGGGACATGTTAATACTAGAGTGCTTAAATATGGCAAAAAGGACGTAAGGTTTGTTGTGTCATGTGTTTCCCAATTAGCCATTCATTACCGCAACTCAATTTCTCCACCTACAAATTCCGACAAGAGCTGGTCTACTCTCCTTTTCCATTTATTTTAGAATCAATCATCCAAAACTAATTATACATACATTTTTTTCATTGATATTACTATTTCACGTGAATGAACGATGATAGTATATGATATACAGTTTTCTAATTTAGTCGTTATAATTTATTTACTAGATCCAAATTCTATATACGGTACTTGTTGATATCATATATATTATAAAACAAAAAAAAAATGACAAAACCAGTATACATCCAAACCCTATACTCTAACTAAATTCTTACATATTGTCATATTTGATGAAAATTGACAATTCTAGTAGTAAATACTAAATAATATTGTGATCCGATTTGATCGATGAGATGTTTTCTTGACTTAACGTTTGAACATATGGACCTATTAACCTGAAATTATTATGTGTGGACCAAAATATTTGTAAAGTTATCTGTGACAAGTTGTTTGAAATTTTAGTATAGCCAGTTTATATGATTAGCTACATTAGTTTGATTAGACTTTAACGTCGTGGAACAAAAAGAAATAAAATTTGGAAAAATCTAGATATCAGCCAGAATTTCATGTACCAAGAACCAATGACAATCTTCAGACAGCCACCATGATGAATGTCTCGTTAGTACAGATGACACTATGACCAAAAGAAGAAGCAAGTATGATTCTGTAAATTCTGTTTTTATCTGTCCATAGATTTTTCAATGCCAAGTTTCTTCTGAGGATTTACATAAAAACACGTAGCTCGATGAAGATCAACATCAGGGCAATGTTTTGCGCAGACAAGTTGAATTGAAAGAGGGACCATGAGAGCACATGGAAGGTTTTGGCTTCAATTTGATCATTAGTCTTTGTCTCTCTTTCATCACTGTTAACAAGTCTACATTTAAGTCTTAAGAGGGGCTTTTGGACAAGACATGAAATGATCATATCGCCTATCGACAAAATTGCTATCAGAGACTTATCAATCTTAGGGGTCAATTCAAATTCATCCAATTTCTTTCAATTATTAGGAAAAGTGTTTTGTGTATTACATGAGACAATACTTTACCACAGAACAATTGGGACTTTACAATGGGATGATTTTGTTTTCATCTTTTTCCAAATGAAACAATACCTTTTCAGTAAGATAACTCCTCACCTGTAGAGTTTGGATTATGGCTACCAGATTTAGCCTCACACAAGTTGAATTCCTGAAGGGTCCTTCGAACAGGACTTGAGAGACCATTTGGTGGAATCAATACTTTCTCTTGGTTACAATCATAATGCTGTGCTAAGTGACTTGAAGGAGCATGAGCTATTGAAGTATTTACGTTTGGTGGTGCGAATTGTTGGTACTGATGGAACTCCTGCACAGGGATTGGTATCGATGTCTCTTCAGGTTCATATTCAAGCTCATTCTGCATAAAGGATTGTGAAAGAGTAAACATGAAAAACTTTTCAGATCAAATTCAAGAACTTTGGACTTGTAATATTCGAAGTTAGTCAAACAAAGGAAGATTCATGAAAGATATATAATCAATCTAAAGACCAATTACGTAAGCACAAGCTTGAAGCTTGAGTACAAAGCATAATCACAAGCCAGATAATGTTTCAAAGGAAAGAACCTGCAAGTAGGTAGTAATATCAACAGTGGATACTCTAGTTCCTTGTTCTTCTTGTCTCACAATCCATTGGTAAAGTTTCTCCTGTAAAACAAAAAGTCGGATTCCATAAAACCAAAACAAACTAAGAGAAAATTTCATCTTTGAAATATCATGAAACGATATTGAATGACGCCACGAACATAACGATGCCACCATAAGGAAGCAACGATCCCTAGTTCATCAATTTAGTTAGTCTGAGTAAAAACAAAAGCAGGCACTTCAAGATCAAAGGGCCACAACTTTGAGCAGTAAGACCACTTATTAGCTTTATATCCAAACTAGCTTCATTTGATAAGAACCAATTCAGATTGTCTCTCGCTCCATTGTTTCAATTACGACAAACTCAAAGAGACTATAGCAAGGCAAACAAGACCAAAACAACAGGAAATCCATGAAATAAACAGCACCCAAGCAAAACAAAAGCCTTCAATCAACTTTTTTTATTTATTTATCGAACCCAGAAATCAAAATCGAAACTTGATACAGACTAAGGTAAAGAGGGAGGGAGAGAGAGAGAAGAGACCATGCCGCGACGTTCACCGGCGAGGAAAGAGACGCGTTGGTGGTTCATGGCATGGGTATAGAGCTGAGAGAGCGAATTAGCAGCACCACGAAACGCGCCATACATTGTTCGATCGACCTCATCGAGCCGTGTGGCCTCGGATTTTCGCTTCTTCACCATCAGAGTGCGAACGGATAACAAAAACCCTAGATTTGTAAAATTAGGGATTCTTCTGAGGACTGAATTTGGTAAAAGATAAAAAGAAGAAGAAAGGATTGATTGTTTGTGAAGGGAAGAAGAAGACGCGAAGAGAGAGAGAGACTTGTGGCGTTACTTCTGTAGAGATTCTGCCACGTGGATATCATGCTACTTGTGGGTCCCTTTATTGTGTCCTGCAGACAAAAGTTTTTATTAAAAGCTATTTTTTGCACTTCCGGTTCGGTTCATGAATTTTCTTGTAATAATAATGTTTTTTTGTGCTAAATTTATTATTTCATTCATTCTTTGATCGAGGATGAAATAAGGAGAAACTTTTGCTATGATAGTATGGTGGATCATGGATGATTACTATTTGAATTGTTTAAATTTTTTTAGATATATAAAAAGGGATCTACTTTGCTTTACTCTTCTTCGCTTTGAGTAATATACAGTATTTTGAATTCAATCGAATACTAATAAACTGCTATTTCATTGTTTCAAGGATAGATTAATTTCCTTAAAAAGCAATTCGACCAATTTTTTCACAGCGATATACTCTCTTTGCCAAAAAAAATACAGTAACAGATTCCGAAAAAAAACACTCACACGTTTGTAATTTGTGATTTTTTCTAAAAATAGGAATTTATTTTAAGCTCAATCTCCCTCGCTAACAAGCTAAAAACATTCCTATTACAAGTCACAACGACCACCCATCTCAAAGACAAGGAAAAAGAAATTTACCGACCGGAAGAAGAGCAAAAAACACATCTTTCCAGGTCAAAGAAATCCCAATTATCATTCATCGTCGCCTTCTCAATATGGCCGGAAGAGCAGCGATGCTCGTTAACGTCGGGACGGTTACAATGACCGTTTTGACCCTGGCTACTTTGGTCGGAGGCTTCGGTGTGAATTGGGGTAGTATCGCATCGCATCCTTTGAATCCCAACATTGTTGTTCAGATGCTTAAGGACAATAAGATCAATAAAGTGAAGCTTTTTGACGCCGATTCATGGACCATGAATGCTTTGGCCGGTTCCGGCATGGAGGTTATGGTCGGAATCCCTAATAACCTTCTTGAATCTCTCGCCGACGATTACGATAATGCTAAAGATTGGGTCAAAGAAAACGTTACTCATTATATGCGCAAGGGTGGCGTCGACATCAAGTAATTAATCCTTCAAAACTTGTTTTTTTCTCTTTTTTTTCTTTTCTTATCAGAATATGATTATTCGGTCTAATACATGTGACCGCCATATATATAGGTATGTAGCGGTTGGGAACGAGCCGTTTTTGTCTGCATACAACGGATCGTTCTTGAAGACAACATTTCCAGCGTTAAAGAACATCCACAAGGCATTAAAAGAAGCTGGACATACCGATAAAATCAAAGCCACGATCCCACAAAACGCAGAAGTTTACCAATCAGCCAATGACAAGCCTTCAGAGGGGGATTTCCGCAAGGATGTGAAGCAAACTATGGTCGACATCGTCACTTATTTCCACGATAACGACTTACCTTTCACCGTCAACATTTACCCTTTTCTTAGTCTTTACCTGAACGAGCATTTTCCTGTGGAATTCGCTTTTCTTGACGGTGATGGTCAAACGATTAATGATAAAGGAAAGAATTATGATAACGTGTTCGACGCAAATTATGACACACTCGTTTTCGCGTTAAAGAAAGCTGGGATTCATGATATGAAGATCATCGTTGGAGAGGTAACTTGAAAAGCATATTACTGGTTATAATTAGATATATACCAAGAATCTTAATTGAATTTGGTTATGTTTCTCTCTGTAGGTTGGATGGCCAACGGATGGTCATAAATATGCGACGCCGAAGCTAGCAGAGAAATTCTATGCAGGGCTTATGAAAAGACTAGCTAAGGACGGTGGGACTCCATCGAGACCTGAGAGGTTAGAGGTTTATCTTTTCGGTTTCCTCGACGAAGACATGAAGAGTATTCTTCCTGGACCCTTTGAGAGACATTGGGGCATCTTTAGGTGAAGTACTTTTCTCTTCATATATCTAAAACTATGTTTCTTGAATCGTACGTCAATTATATTTTGTTTCCTTCTCTAATTGCATAGAGTTTGACCGGTCTTCTCTTATTATTCACAATATATTCTTCACATACTTTACATTTTTTGAATATAGTCTTGTCATAAGTTTTAAAATCTAACGTTTTAATGGAATGATTAAACAACAGAGAGATTAGTAACGTTATGTTTTTCCACTAGATACGATGGGACACCGAAGTTTGTGCTAGATTTCACGGGACAAGGACGCAAAATGGTGCCTGTTGCAGCTAAGGGTGTGCAATACTTGGAAAAGCAATGGTGCGTAGTGAACAATGACACGGTCAATCTAGACGAAATTGGTCCAGACCTAGACTATGCGTGTTACCACGGGGACTGCACCGCTATGGAGGCCGGGTCAACGTGTAGTAAGCTAACCAAAATCCAAAACATATCATACGCGTTTAACATGTATTTCCAGATACAGGACCAAGACGTAAGGGCTTGTGATTTCAAAGGAGCTGCTATGATCTCTAAAGTTAATGCGTCCGTGGGAAGTTGCTTGTTCCCAGTTCAGATCATTAGTGGAAGTGACGATGTCAGGATCAACTCTGTGTTTGGAAGATTCATTCTTTTTGGATTTGTTCTTTTTGGATTGGTTGCAGCTATATAATTTGTGTTTTTGGCACTTTGAAGGAAATTTATTAAATACGTTATTTTATGTTCGTTTCTTAACGTTTGAGTTAGTTGATTTCTACGTGTTTTATAGATCGGTATGATGATCGAATCACATGAACGATTTTGATTTGTATGTATGTTCATAATATATATTTATATATATATTCAGTAGACAATAGTGCTCAATTATATCCTCGTTTGCAAATAATATTTATTTTGTGGTTTTTCATTGTTACATTAGAACTTTTTACTTAACAAATGTTTTACCCTGTTTAATAGAGTAATCGATTCCTTTATTTTCTGTAATGCTTTCAATTTGTAACGTTATATCAGTCAAAATCCTTGTTATTTTTTACACCCAGTATTTTTCTAGGTTAAACTACTTTTTATTTTGCAGGTTTTGCGACATTCAATGGAAAAAAATGGACATGACCATAAATGCGGTTTGGTGAGAGTACTAAATGCTAGTATTTCAAAAGAAGGATGTCTATATATATATGCCCCAGTGCTTTCATATTTTTCGTTTTTACCGTTTTAGGCATTTTGGTTGTATTTAAAGCTAAACAATAGATTGAGAGTTATATACACAATTACACATTTAGGTTGGAAAATATTAATATTGACCTTAGACAAGTTAAAACACAGTGAATACGGGTAAACGAGTAGTTTGTGAAGTAGTAATTTCTTACTTATACTGTAATTGATATGACGATTAAAAGCAAATGCATTTGTAAGAAGATGGTAAAAAATACATAAACAAACCTTCACTAATTTTGTATTTTTATTGATACGCAAATATTTATTAGTCTTGTACTAAATTTTCAATTATGATAATTGTGTAGTCATATCACTACCAGATTTAAAATGTAATGAATGCTGCTGATGAGTGCTGACCATTCTGCTCCTTCTCTCCTTTTATTCCCCTTTGCTTCTCCTACTTCTACTTAAATTCTATCAACTCTTAACAATATAAGCTAAGAGACGACGACGAGGAGTAATCAATAATATTTGAGAGGGTGTGAGAGAGGTTCCATTATTATTTTTCTATTTGTTCCTTCTTTTTTTTGTTGTTACTATATTATAATATCGTAATATGTTGTCTTCAGGATATGCAATGAAACGAGATGTGGTGATCATTGTAATCTTTACAATCTTAGTTTTGATAATTTTCTCGCGTTCAAGTTCGATTCAAGCGGGAATATTCAGCAGCAGTACAAGAAGAAAAAGTAATATTCTGAGGGTTGCTCGATCACAATACTACAAGAATCATCACGAGTTTGTGATCTCGGGAGGGATGTCAAATTTTAATAAGTTCAGACGAAGAAGATCGTCTAAAGTTGGGGAAAAGATTGACGGCGAGGAGGAAGACCAAGAAGAGAAGCGATCTATCCCCAGTGGTCCAAATCCTCTGCACAACAAGTAGGGTAATATTGAGAGAGGCAACATATATGACTATTCAAGAATCAAGATTAGTATTTGTTCTTAAGGAAACAGCTGCGGTATTACCGGGTTTTCATTCTTTATTATATACTCTATGGGTTGGGTTGGAAAATCTAACAATCGAGTGTGTTTTCTAGCATTTAAAATGCGTATGTTTGAATTTGCTGGACCCTTATACTATGTACAATGAGGTAAAACTAATTAATACTTTAATTTGATCGTAATAATATGGACAGTGTGTTATGCAATGAACCTTTAATTTGATCGTAATAATACTTTTTTAGAAGTTTCGTGTTAATTGGATTTCGAATAATAATATCATATCAATGTCATCAAAGGAAGAAAGTGAAATTGCATTTATTTGTTGCTGATAGGTGTGGTGTGGTGGTAGGCGTCCCATTAATATATTATCTCCATCACTTTCAAAGCAAATACATCAAAAAAAAGATTGATAGATTTGTATGTAATTACTTTTTCTTGTTGTTTTTGTTTTTTTATATATTAGATTTACATCCCCCACAAAATGGTTTCTCCCAATTAGAACCCCACAATAACACACTCCTTCTTCATCTTTGACCAGCCGCCCCATCTCTTTCACTTTCAGTCTCTATATTTTAGCTTTCTTCTTAATTCTCTCCTTAATTACTACCTAATTAGTCGTAACTAAACCCTTCTATCTGATATCAAAATTCTTAACCATTTCCATATAAATCACCTTAAATAGGTAAGATGCATGTGTAAATCACCTAAATATATAGGTAGTATCTATAACTATAACATGATTACTTAATTAAGTCATGTGTGTTTTCTTAAAACAAAGCCACAAATACATGTTTCTGATATGTTTTGTAATATGTTAGTCTCTGTTAGTTAAAAATGAGAATAGTATAGAGTGGTTACCAAAAGGAACAAAACACAAGTTAACACAGTGGCTCCAGGAAGTTTCGTCTTACCTATAAAGACAAGATTAAAACGACCACTTTGAGTCAGTTGACTTAGGAATAGACTTGCGAATTCTTCTCTGGTCATATATGTGTGTGTGAGTCAGTGGGTGCAAATCATATAATATACAAGATGATGCATTGCATTATGCCAAAAACTTTGGAATAAATAAAAATTTTATACCTTGTTTAGCCATGCAATATGCTGTTTCCCCTCAATATTGGAGTATATATTTTTTTAATAATATATAGAACTAACTCTCATAAAAGATGGATTATACAGATTGTGAAAACATATATATATGGATCAAGAAGTGAATTTAGACGAGATAATACTTTACAGGATTTGCTAAATAAAAAGTTAGGCCAAAAAAAGATATCAGAGTATCATAAATAGTAGTAACGTTTACGAAATTCAACAAGTCAAAACTTATTTTGTGTCTTTGGTGTAATACAGACAACAACTGTAAAGTGAATAGAAAGTCCTGTCTGCTTCAAACACAGCAGAAGCAACAACACACATAAACATAAAACATATACTAAGCCCGCAGCCATGGATCCAATATATCCAACGGTATCGATCACCGATGCTAACATGGACCTCAAAGTAGACGATAATGGCTCTACAAATGGGCCCGAAAAGCCCAATCAAGAAAATGAATACTTTAATAAGTGGAGGAAGCTCGCTTTTTCCGCCTTTCGCCACCCTTCCGCCTAGCGTCTGTCCATACGTCATAACGATGACGTCATCGCCATATTCTTTTACACACGTGGCACATTGAAGCACCTTCCTAGTATCTACCCTGAAATTGCTTTGTTCACAAGTAGTAGTAGTAGTAGTAGTACTACTAGTAATAATTGTTTAATAAAAATCTTATCTCTTAATTATCTCTTTCTTTTTACAAATATAAAATAAATAAGCAACCAAAACCTTCAAACAATAATTCTCATTTCTCTTTGAATATAAATAAAAGACCATTGTTAACTCATTGTCTTCTCTTCTTCACTTGCTCTCTATCTATACTAAGTTCTGTTCTTACCTAGTTTATACATGCTTTAAGACTCTCTCTTCTCTCTCTCTCTCTTGATTGTAATTTGTTTTTCCTATTCATAAAGGAAAAAAAAAACAAAAAAAAAGATGAATATCTCTCAAAGCCCTAATTTTACGTATTTCTCCGATGAAAGCTTTATTAATCCTTTCATGGACAACAATGATTTCTCCAATCTGATGTTCTTCGATGTCGATGAAGAAGGAGGCAACAATAACGGATTCGTCGAGGAGGAGATTTCATCTCCGACAAGCATCGTTTCGTCGGAGACATTTACCGGCGAAAGCGGCGGATCCGGCAGCGCAACAACCTTGTTTAAAAAGGAATCAACGTGAGTTTTTAATTATTACTATTATTTAATTGTTGGCAAGATTCTTAACACAAGTAAATTATTTTTTATTAAATTATATACTACTTATCTTTTGCTACCCAATTAAAAATTGTAGAAATAGGGGAATCAAAGAGAGTGATCAGACGAAAGATACGGGCCATCGAGTTGCATTTAGAACGAGATCTAAGATCGATGTCATGGATGATGGTTTTAAATGGAGGAAGTATGGCAAAAAATCTGTCAAAAACAACATTAACAAGAGGTAACCTAAGTCTCAGTTTTATCTAATTGTTTGATTAGAAACCCTTTTTAATCACTTGTGTGTTTCATTAAGGTGAGGTGAGGGAAATATAGTTTTCAAGTATACATCTATTATATTGTTTGCTTGGGAATTTTCTGTAACCACCTAGCTAGCTAGTTAATCCTTATGTTATATTAGAATAGCCACTAGCTCGATCATATAGTGTGATTTGAATACTATTTTGATGGACCCGTATTATCATCTACCAACCCACTTGGATTTAAAATTAATCAGATTCCATATGCATCCATGTGATCTGCTCTTGCTTAATTATATCTTTACATAAACGGTCGCTATATAACTAGAGGTGAATGGATCAGTCCATGGTTTATTTTGACTCATCTATAGTAGAAGAAACAAGTTGTCCATATTTGTGAACATCTTTTAATGAATCGGAGTCATCCTCTCTAAACATATCACTTTCAAAGCATGGTTAGGATATAAAAATTCATACTCGTAGAATTCAAATACAAGATAAAATATCAATATTGTATATCCTAATTTGTAAAACTGGGTAGTATTAACAAATGTTGGAATATATATATATATAGGAATTACTACAAATGCTCAAGTGAAGGTTGCTCGGTGAAGAAGAGGGTGGAGAGAGATGGTGAAGATGCAGCTTATGTAATTACAACATACGACGGTGTCCATAACCATGAGAGCCCTTCTCACGTCTACTACAATGACATGGTTTTGTCTTATGATCATGATAATTGGAACCAACACTCTCTTCTTCACTGTTAATCCAGAATGTCTTCTCCTCATGATTGAGATTGTAAGATAGAGCTACCATTGTTATATATAATCTTAGTGCATTGTGTAATTTTATAGGTATAAATAATTAATAAAAAGGAGTTTGGTTTATAAATGTTTTAATGTATGTATATGGCTATGAAGCATCTTGTAGTTCGCTAAGATATCAAATATAATTAAGTGTATAGTTGAAAATTTGCAGTGTTATATATGGTCGTATGATTTTTTTAAACTGTGGAATGTTTCTTTGGATATTCAAGGTGAATGTATGTTTCTGCACAAATTTTTGTCTTTTTAAATGGATACAATCACACAAGTATGTTCTCAATAGGATATCTTTTGGTTGGTTTGAATAATTATCAACGAGGTAAACTGTTTCGGTTTACTTGTTATCGGTTTAATAAAAGGAATTAGATTGGTTTGGTTTATGAGCCGGTTTTGGTTTGTGTTAGCGTAGACAGTACCGAACCGATCTCATCTTCTACCTTTTAACAAACTCTGTGCAGGGAAAACGAAGTCGTTTTATATTGTTCTTCCGCCCAAATCAAATCTCAACACTTGAATAACATTTCAGTAAATTTCAAGGAAAGCCATACGAAGACGAGGTCTGGATCTCTGATCTCTCCATTTTACATTCATTCTCTCTACTTTCGCATATCTTCGTTTTCAGATTCTTGAACGGCTTCGAAGGGAAATTTGTATTCCCAGAGTTATTCGAGTGGGAGGAAGACGAACCCGAACCCTACTTGATTGATTTTTATCTGTAAAAAATTGATCCGAAATCTCGGTTGGATCCGTAGATCTGCTGCTTCTATCGATCGAGGTTTCTACACGAGGAAGGTGAAGAATCTGCGCTTGTCGATGTTTGATTAGTTGCTTCGGTAATGTCATTGGGGATTGAATCATAAAAAGTGTTCCATTGTGAGAGGTTGCTATGAGCGTTTGTGGAAGCTGTTTCTTCTCGTTTTGGATTGGAATTATCGAGAGGACATGATTGATCAGTGTTAGTTTTCTCATTTGTTACCTAATCTGGTCTGGCTAGTCTGTGATTAAGCCCAAAAAAAAAAGAAAAGAAAAAGTAATGAAGTTTTGGAGGGAACGTGAAAGGGAAAATAAGGAGCAGATCGTAGCTCCATTGTGCGGGCAAGTTCGAGTATTGGTTGTTGGTGACTCAGGTACTACTGTTACTAGTTCTAGTTTCCATGTAGTTTCCATTAGCAATTGTATGGAACCAGACCAAGTTAGTCCTTTTAGAAGCTTAAATATTACCATACTTGTGTAATTTTCTTGATTATTTTGGTTTAATAGGACTTGCAGATTGATGCACATGGATACTTTATATCTAGATCATGTGTGACTTAGCAAGATAGATTCTCTCCCATTGAGTTGGACCATTGGTTAGGAGTTATGGTTCTGTGGTCATTGAGTTATATCATTTTCTTCAAACCTTAGAGTCTAGCATTTAAGTCGAAACTGTTTTCCTTAGAGTCTGTTACTTAGTGAGTTTGCTTTTGCTCGTCGAGTTATCTACTCTGCATCATTATGTCAATTTTCATCTCTTAATATCAAATCTATTTGTTAGGTGTTGGAAAAACATCACTTGTACACCTCATCAACAAAGGTTCTTCTATTGTTCGCCCATCTCAAACAATTGGATGCACAGTTGGTGTCAAGGTAACTTAATTGTCTCAAACGTTCTCCAATTGTTTAGGGAAGTGAAGTTTACATCCTTTTATTTCCTGCTACTTAACCACTGTGCAGCACTTAACCTACGGGAGTCCATCTAGTTCGTCAAGTAGCATTCAAGGTGACTCAGAGAGAGATTTCTTTGTTGAACTCTGGGATGTATCAGGACATGAGAGATACAAAGATTGCCGTTCATTGTTCTATTCACAAATCAATGGTCTCTCCCAACCTATCCACATTATTCATTCTTTGTATGTCTGTAACAAATGTCATAAAACGATAAACTTCTTATGCAGGAGTTATTTTTGTTCATGATCTCTCCCAGAGAAGAACAAAGACAAGCTTGCAGAAATGGGCGTCTGAGGTTGCAGCCACTGGAACATTTTCAGCTCCTCTTCCCTCAGGGGGTCCTGGTGGTCTTCCTGTTCCATACATTGTTGTTGGCAACAAAGCAGATATAGCTGCAAAAGAAGGAACAAAAGGAAGCAGTGGAAATCTCGTTGATGCAGCTCGTCATTGGGTTGAGAAGCAAGGTTTGCTTCCTTCTTCAAGTGAGGATCTTCCTCTCTTTGAAAGCTTTCCTGGTAATGGCGGTCTCATAGCTGTAAGTAAACCATATGAGTTAGAACAGACTTTTCAGTTAATAGTAGTTAGTGGTTGCTTTTAATTTTATGGTCTGGTGCGGGGTTTTCCACAGGCTGCCAAAGAAACCAGATACGATAAGGAAGCTTTGAACAAGTTTTTCCGGATGGTTAGTGTTGTTAACACATTTTTGTATTCCTTGTTACCTCTCCAAGATACCCTTTTATAACCAATTAAACTGTGAATCTTTACAGTTGATAAGAAGAAGATATTTCTCAGATGAACTACCAGCAGCTTCACCTTGGTCTCTTTCGCCGGGTCCAACCTCATCATCCCAACGGTTAGACGAGATCACAAGTGATGACGATCAGTTTTACAAGCGAACAAGGTAACAGAAATCCTGTAAAGCATTAGAGTTTAGTTTAGTTTTGTTTGTTTTTTGTTTATGTTGGGATTCATCGGTTGATTGTTGCACACAGTTTACATGGAGATCCTTACAAGTACAACAACACATTACCGCCACTTCCAGCACAACGCAACCTAACTCCGCCTCCTACACTATATCCGCAGCAACCAGTGTCTACTCCTGATAACTACGCCATCCCAAGATTCTCTCTTTCCAGTGTACAAGAAACAACCAACAATGGCAGTGCAAGATCTAAGCGAATGGATATAAACGTCTGAAATCTCATCACTTGTTTGCTCATTCTCATTCCAAGAAAACTTGATGTTGCCTTTGGATCTATTATTCTTTTATGATTTTTCTTTTTAGGCGGTAAAGTGAATATGTGTGTAAACCCTCTTTGGTTTGTACATTGTGGGTTTTTTTTTTTAATCTTTATAGTAGATTCTTTGAAATCTTGTTCTTTTTTTTTGTTTTTTGTTTTTTTTTTTCTGGTTATCATGTATTAAAAACAGTGAATACTCACAAAATCACAATAAATTTTTTGTTGAATTTCTACAATCTAGTCATATTGATAGTTTCTACACTGTATGAGATATTGAGATTGTTAGTTTGATAACCAAATTTGATGTTTAAATTTCATATATTTTTAAATTGGAATATTAATTAATTTGAAAACAAAACTCTTTATTCCCTAGAAATATATGGAGATAGAGTGACAGAGTTACGACAACTTCATAGCATCGAGAGGAGGCAGGGAGGGAAGGTATGTAATTTTAGTACCCTCGTAGTTCCAATTCCATGGAATCTTTTTCTCTTTGAACCCTCTTCTGGGTTCTGGGTTGCTAAGACCAGCTGCAAAATCCTTAATTTTTTGTCTCTCTGTCACGTCGTGCAAAAACCCTAAACCCTGGAAATTGTGAGATCTCATGTTTCAGTAACTTGTTAAATTTGTACTCCGTGGCTGTTATTACAATATGTGTTGATTAAGATTCCGATTTCAATTCCATTTCTGTTTCAGTTTCAAAATTGTTTGAAGTGAAAGTTTGGTAATTGGGTTTCCCCAAACGAAAGGTTGAATTTTTAATTCAATTACGACGATACCAGATTGTTAAAAAAGACAAGCTTTGCTTTAATTTGTGTTCATGATTAAATTTTGTTTGTAATGCGCAGTGTAAAATCCGATTCTTTAACCGGGAAAATGGTGGAGGTGTGGTGGTCACTGATAGGAGCAGCAGTACCTGCACTAGTTGCAGGTCAAGCATGGAGGATAAAGAAGAGACGTGGAGAAGAAGAGCGGATTAAGAGTGCTCGAGGGAGAGAGAAGAGCTCTGATGAAATCTTTGTCTGTGAAAGAGTTTGCACTTCTAAAAGAATGCTGAAGAAAGTTGGTGCTTTCTCTAAAGATCCCATTCCCGACACTTGTGTTACTGTCTGCGGCGTATCTGAGCTTGACGCTTGCTCTGATGCTTGTGCTCGAACCGTCTGCGTTAACCAGCATCAAGTTGCTAATTGGAATGACATTTGTCTCAGAAGATGTCAAAGTGAATGTCTTAAGCTCTCTTCTTCTTCTCGTTCTTCTTGAATTTTGAACACTATGATTTGTTGTTGTTAACGTTACCTTTTGAAATGGAAATGGTATTTGAGTCTGAAGTTTCAAAAGTTATAATAACATTATGGGCAATCTTGGTGGATGATTACATTTCATCATGTGAGGTTTCTTTTGTAACTTTCTCAGCTGTTTTGTGAACTACTTCACCTACAACATCTCCTGCTAGTTTTGCAGACTCTTCAATTGCTTCTTTGCTTACTTCGAGACTCCTAGTTGCTGCTTCTTTCACTTTCTCTCCTTTATCTTCCTCCTCTCTCTTGTTTTTGTCACTGTTGCTTCTGAAACTGTCACAAGAAAACAACACATGAGCAATATAACCACATATTAACGAAATCTGAGATTATAGGATATGATGCTTGTTTGTTTACTCTAGATTGGGTGGGTAAAGCTTCATCTGGATCTTATGCATCGCACCTTGAATCAATTCCCAAGAACTCGGAGGGAATTTCTTGCCAAAGATCCCACATATGATCTTTATAAGTGACGGTTTCTCTTCTTTTGTTGCGGCACCATCGCTGTCTTCTCCATCTGCAGCAACCCCGGAGATCAAGATGATGAATAAGAATGAGAAACCGAATATGATTCTCCTTGATTCATTCATGTCAATATCTCAGTTAAAAAGTTTCAGAGAAATCAAGAAGAGAGCCAAAAGAAAATGATGGAACAGAGAAAAGGAAGAAAGAGAGAGATGATAGAGAGTTGGCGCCATGTTTCTCGCACCAAAAGAAGCAAAGCACATTTTTTTTTGGTTTGAACGGTTCTTGCGTAATACCCACATTGACTTTTAAGAGAACTAAATCGAAACTAATCCAATGAAAGCATTAAGCATCTGTCTTAAAAATTTAATATCATTTTACAAAAAGAAAAAAGAATTTAGCCTTTGTCTCGCATATTAGATAGACCCCAAAAAAAAAAAAGTGTCTTAAAGCAGCTCCCTCTTCTTGGGAACCTCTATCCTGAAACAACTGAAGAAGATATTCCCATGGCGCATTTGACTTCTTGATCAAAATCAAATATTTTCCCCGATTCTTAGCTATAATCACTTCAGATAAATCTTCTCAACCAACCAAAGGATTCGGCAGGGAAAAAGTTTCATTTGAAGAAGCTAGCATGATCGAGATTCATCGGTTTCTCATACTGTACTGCTAAGCACGCCTCTGCAACAACCCACTCACCATTCACAGCGTTTGCACAGTTCTACAAATAACTAACATTAAGCTATGCTCTTGAGAATTACTTAATTCACTGGAATATGTGAGGAGATCCTATAAGAATAATACCTTGGAACAAGTGTAGACAATAAGTGTCATCCAATCCCAATTATCCAATGATTGCTTAAGCCCTTTATCAACAACACCTTCATGTAAAAAAAATATTAGTGGAGGCATAAGTTGCATCTCAAAGTGCCTTGGACAGTCGCAGTTCCTGCAGTTATCGGGAGATTTCAAGTCTTCGGTGGCCAATATCGGCTTACCGCCATACGAGTACCTGACCATCGCAAAAATTTACAAGATCAATGTCCATTCAAGAAAATATTGAAGATTGAAAGTTGAGATTTTTACACTCTATAAAACGAGTGAATTACAATTACCTAAAACATTGTTCCGGGTTTGCATCTAGCCGTTTTTTGAACTTAAGGTAAGTCCTATCAGCATTGAGGGCTTTGTCATATTCATATTTCTCATCCTCCCACACTTCTTCAGATTCACCCTCATCATTGTTGCCGTTTTCTCTATCCTTCATAGACAGAGAAGAATAATTCTTCGAGAAACGATCAACTTCTTTTGAGGGCATCTCTTCTTTTGTATAAATGTAAAAGCATGGAACCACAGGACCAGTCTCAACATTAATTTGATCCGCAACTCTTGTTTCAGATTTTGAAGGTGAAGGCTTAGCTTTAGTCCCTGAACTCTTCTGTTTCTTCGAATTGGAGGCAACAGTAGTAGAAGCCTCCGCAATCGCCTTAGCTAAATTCTCGAAATCAAAATCTTCATCATCATCATCATCTAACCAATGAGTTTTAGAAGCTGAATCTAGTGGCGAGGCGACAGGCAAATCAGCTATTTCACTGACTTCCTTCTCTTTTATAGCTTTATGAACGCTAAAAGCTCTCCAGCTGAAACATTAAGAAACACACTTAACACCTTGATCATTTGTCACATAACCAGAACCATAATGTTGGCAGTAATTTGACAAGTGATCACGTAATCAAAAGGAAAAAAAGAATAAACCTTTGCTCAGATGTTCCACATTTAGGCATCAAGCAACCAAATATATAGAGCGTGCGCTCTTGGATGTCTGAAGTTTCAGTTGAGACTGGGGCATACACCTAAATGCAGAGACAGAAAAAAAAAACCATACTTCTAATTATAATCCAAAAATGCTTCTAATTACACAAAAAAGAGTAAAGCTTTCGACTTGAACACAAACCTGAGCTACGAGAGAAAGTTTGCTTCCACAAGAACAGCAATTGAGTAATTCTGGTCTCAGTGCATCATCTGGAATTGGCGGCCAATCCTAAAATTTCACTTCAATCAGAAACCAGAATAAAAAGATTGAAATTTCTATGAAAGAAGAGATATACATAAAGCTAGCAAGGAGTTACTCTACCGGAAGACCGCCGATTTTTGTTGTGTAGTGATCAGAAGACTCAAGCTCCTCTTCTGCCCATTGCCCAGGTAACCCCAGAAGAGTTCCGACCATGGTTACAGTTCTCCGATTGAAGCAGGAGATATATTTCCCTACGAGGTTTATCGAATTCGATGTTTGAATTGAAACATCACTGATAATGAAGACTAGAGAAGTGTGGAACCACCCGGTTAGGTTTCTAAGATAACCGGATTTTCATGTAATTTGAGTTTTCCCGGTTTCGAATCGAACTAATTTGCTTAATTGAACCGAATTGTTTGGATCAGTTTACTTGGCTCAATGACGAAATACATGTTCGGTTCAGAGGAGAAAAACTAGATTCATCCCACACTAGTAGTAGTAGATTGTTTGAAATCTAAACTGATCAACTTCTAATACAAGTTTTGAGACAATAAAGTTTCATATATTACCCAATGGGGCTCAAGTGTTTAGAAACATTAATACTCTCTGCATTTCTAAAAGTATCTATATACATTCCACAATAAAAGATTCTTGTGAAGCTGTAAGAAGCCTTTTTTTAATAAATTTGACTCCTTTCAGTTTTCAGGTTTCTCAGTTCCATCTCTTGGAGTTCTTGCTAGCTTTTGACTTCTGTTTTGCCTGTTGGAACGCCTGCATCTTCTGCTTCTTCCTCGCTTCTTTCTCAGCTTTTGACATCTTTGACTTTGCCTTCACTTTTGGAGCTTTCTCTTCTAGCTCTGCTTCTCTCTCCAGCTCCTTTGCTCTGGCATCAAGATTCTTCTCCAGGTAATACTGAGACATCCACACATTCAAAAAGTTATACATAGGTCAAATTGAGTTAGTAAAAAGTAGAGAGTGCAATCCAAAGTGTGCGTACATTGTAGTCGCCTGCATAATCTTCTAAACAACCATCTTCGACTTCTATGACTCTGTTAACGATTTGTTTAATGAAGTATCTATCGTGAGAGACCGCGATGACTGTACCTTGGTACTCGTTTATCGCTTCCTGATTTAATTAAACAAGAGAATTAGCCTATCTCCAAGTCCAAAAACAGTTATTATCATTGTGACCTCAACAAAGTAGAGAAGCCGAACCTCGAGCATTTCTTTCGAAGGAATGTCTAAGTGATTGGTTGGTTCGTCCAAAACTAGTAAAGTTGATGGCGTCACCATGAATTTGCAGAAAGCAAGACGTGCTTTCTCACCACCACTTAAAAGAGAGACCTTTCGGTCAAGCATGTCTGCTTTGAAGTTGCAGCGTCCAAGAAGACCTTTTATATCATCACTTCTCCAGTCTTCTGCAGCTTCACAAACTGTTTCAAGCACTGTTTTATCCAAATCAAGGACCTCAGCCTAGCGGAAAAAAAAAAAAAAGGGGTTGAAACCAAATCATGTTAATGAAGTGAGCAAACCTGTCAGTGCATTATTTATTTAACTGATTAAGAAAGTGAAGACTGACCTGATTCTGTTCAAAGTAGTTTGGCAGTACATTGTGCTCTCCAAGAATAACTTCACCTTTCATAGGCTTCTCTAAACCCATAATTAGCTTCAATAAAGTACTTTTCCCACACCCATTCGGGCCAATAATGGCGATTTTCTCTCCTCTTTCTATTGCTAAATTAGCCTTCTTAAATAGCATCTGGTTTTTGCAACAATAAACATTTTCCACAGGGTCAAACATGAGCAATAAAGGATTTATCTTATCGTCATGATTTTCATTTTAGTAACTCACCTTATCCTCAAAACCAAAATCAATGTTTTTAACATTGACTACCGATCTTCCACTTGTTCCACGCTCTGGAAACCTGATTTTCATCTGCTTCCGCTGAAATGGCTTCTCTATTAGCTCCTGTTCTTGAAGCTTCTCTAGTTTCTGTAATAAACCGCACAAAAGGGAAACATAAGCTTAAACTTCTCAATCCAACTCACAGATAAAAAAGCAAGTCGGAATAATGACATAATTGTTATGATTAGAAAACTTTAGAAACATTTTGAATAACTTTGCACCGCAGCAATCACAGCAAAGGTTCTACAAATTAGCATATTCTTTTTGTTTGCTAACCTTTTCTGCAGTAGAAGCACGACCAGAATTGGCACCGGCACCAAGCCTAGCAATTAAGTCCTTTGTTGAATCAATCTCTTTCTGCTGCTTTTCCCAAGCAGCATTCTGAGTTTCGATCCACTCTGCCTTTGAGATCACATACTGAGAGTAATTACCTTCGAATGTCCTCGACACACCCATCTCAGTTTCCACAATTTTGGTACACAACTGATCAAGAAAGGCTCTGTCATGTGAAATTATAACCATAGGCACCTCTTGCTTTTGCAAATAACCTTCAAGCCACTCAATAGTATCAAGATCCAAATGGTTTGTCGGCTCATCAAGTAGCAGCAAATCTGGATCCTACTCACAGAGAAACACACAATTCACATAAGCTTTGTGTTCAATCAGATTGAAAGGAGGATAAAGCTTTAAGAATCAAATCCCTCATTACCTGAAGCAAAATCTTTCCAAGTGACATTCTCATTTGCCATCCACCACTAAATGAAGCGACGAGCCTATCTGCATCCTCTGCAGCAAATCCTAACTCCGGCATCAGCTTACTGATCTTAGCATCAACGGTGTCTAAATTCACAGCCTGAGCTCGTCTCTGCAACAAATCAAATTCATCTAATAACCTTCCCATAAGGTCCAAATCATCAACAGATCCTTCAATGGCCTTCTGAACTTTCTCAAGCTTATCGGTAATCTCCATCTCTTCCTTGAAGGCACTCATGAACTCTTCCCTGACCGTCTTGCTCATGGAAACCTCGAATTCCTGGCTCAAGAAAGCAACTTTCATATTGGGTTTGGCCTTGATAACGTTACCTGAATCAGGTTCTTCTTGACCAGTGATAATCCTGAGCTGGGTCGTCTTCCCAGCTCCGTTCACACCAACCAACCCTACTTTTTCGCCCTTTTTAACTTCCCAGGTCACATCTTTAAGCACCGTGACGCCTTTGTAGCTCTTCCTAATGTTCTCAAGCTTGACACCAGAAGAGATCCCAGAAGCTCCGTTTTTGGAAGTCTTACCGTTTCGCTTCCGGTCGGAGTCCTGTTGGGTGGTCTGCTTGGAGAAAAGCGATTCGATTTCGTCTTGACGCTCTTTAACGGAGGTCTCGAGGCTGATAGTGGAGACCTGGGCTCTGATGGTGGGGATATCGCGTCTAGGGGTGGAAATGGAAGAGATTTTGATGAAATTAGATGGAGCTGGGGATGGACAAGGACGGAGTCCGGTGAAGAAAGTTGAACGGAGGTCGAGGCTATGAAGATTCGTTGTGAAACCCATTTTATGGAACTTTCCGGTGAATGGTGTAGATGAGAGCAATATAGTGGCGAGAGAAATCTCGCTCTACTGATGAAGAAGAAAGAAAGAAGCAGCAGAGTAAGAAGTCTCTCCTCTCTCTCGAGAGAGCGCCTGTGATAAGAGGAAGGAGTTTCTCTCTTCGCGTTTGAGTGTGAGCCAAGAGATATTATTTCCTTTTTTTTTTTCCAATTTTGTGTGATTTTTCTGGTTTCGCCTTTTTTTTTTTTTATAGTTTTTTCTTTGTTTTAAATTTCCTCTCTATTCCAAAAATATATTCATTATCATAAAATAAAAAATCAACATAACAAAACCAATATTTTATTTTGATTTTTTATCCGTAGAAAACAATGAAAGAAATGGTTGATATTAGATATAAATAGAACAAGAGTAAATAGTTATCATAGTTTCCATTTTTCTTTTTTTCTTTTTTGAGTACTAGTGAATAGAGATGTAGCTGCATTAGAAATGAAATTTGTTTGAATGCAACCAATATCAATAGTATAATTATAATTTTTCCAAATCCCAAATCATAATCTTTGGATAAAATAACTAGAGATGGGGAATATTCATGTTGATTAACTTTGAGTTCTCCACCACATGCAATGCAATGCAAACGATTATTACAAAAGTCAATCAAATAAGGAAGAAGAAAAAGAAACGAAAGAATCTGATTTTGTGGTGCGGAGGAAGAGAAGAAGAGATTGGTCGAAGATAACAATCCGATTAAGTCACCCACCTTTTGGCCTTTTGGTTTTGTGGTTCACATAACTCCTTTGAATTAACCGGACACTTCTCTTATTATGCCACGTGTCGAATTATATCATCAGCCACGTCAGTTCCTCTGTGGTTGTCATCTCGCCACGTCGTCACACGCGCAAGTTGGGTTTTGTTTTGTCTTTTTTGCTCCGTTGAGGGGATTTTGTTTGTTCCGTTTCTTCTATCAAGTTTAGTCGCAATATGTAATATATTTTTTTTTGTTAATCGCCTCCATGACTATATATAATTATGATTGTTAATATATATATTAGTAGTCATTTAGTTGACGAAGCAAAGTCGTAGTTACATTTATAACGAATTGACAAATTGTAGACTTTATTGTATTTGTAGATTATATATATTAAATGGATACAGATTCACTAACGATATATTTAGTCGGCGAGGTTTGATTTTATTTTTACAAAAAAAAAAGAAACACAATACGATGTGATTATTAACAATAGATGACGAGAGATTATTGTCTGTTTTAGTAGTGGAGTATTTGTAATTTACTAATAATACTCAAAGAACAAATTTGATGTAATACTAACTAAATCAAATCTAAACACAAACTCACTTTAATCTATTAAGAAAACAAGAAATCTAATAAATTAGTTGCCGGCCTTCAAATCTAAATCCTTAAAACTTATTGTTTATACACATTAGTATCCCTAACAAAAAACTTCAGATACTAATGTTAGAGACTAATTAATTAATTTACAGTACTAAAACCACAAAACGACAGCATCTAAAGAAAAACATGAAAGCATAAAAGGGTGACGCGGATTTTAAGCGTGTGTGCGTGTCCGAATGAATGGCACTATCGTAATTTACCTCGCATTTTTCCGACGCAAAAATACAAAATACTGTATTTTTTTTTATTTTTTTTTGATATGTTGTTGTGTAGAGACAGTGTGGCCGTATCACCCAATCGACCTGTTACTTTGCTGTATTAAATTTTAGCTTACTTTTTCTTAGCTGCTTTATATATTGCTATTGGTCTGTCTTCACCATCTTCCTCTGCTAAGATCATCTTATTCTCTTACACACACCCACACACCAAAAGAGAAAAAGAAGAAGCAAAATCCTCTTCTCGCTTTACAGACTTAACAATCACATGGAAGATCGGAAAGAGGTTCCAACCCTTTATCTATTTTCTTACATAATCGTTTCTTTTTCTGTGTGATTTTATTATCCTGAGAAGATTTAAAGTTTTAAGTGATGCATGATTGATCTCTTTAGTGAGTGATTTTTCAGGAGAACCTGTTTTCTTTGGGATCATCGAACTAAAGCTTTGTTTTTTCTTCAATTCGCTAGGAACTTTGTGAAAAAAAACAAAAAAAAAAGCTTTCTTATGTGTTTCGAAATCAGGATTTTAATCGATTTTAGTTTTTGTTCGGTTCTTGAAAATCAAAGATATTGAAATGGGGATTTTTTGTTCGCAGAACAAGAACGCGCCGTGGCTATCAGTACCACAGTTTGGAGATTGGGATCAAAAAGGAGGATCCATACCTGATTACTCAATGGATTTCTCAAAAATCAGAGAGATGAGGAAACTCAACAAGAGAGATGCTTCTCGAGCCAGTCTTGGCAACGATGAAGAACTCATTAACCCTTTTCATAATCAGCCCCCTGTTGAAACTACCAAACCTTCTAAGAAGCTCACGACTGTTCACAGTGACAACAACAACAACAACCACAATGAGTTCTCTCACCACCACCCACATTCTCCTTCTGTAAGATTCTTGTTCCTTTTTCAAAAGATTCATTGTCTTCATTCTGGATTTTGTTTGAAGTGCATGATTGGATTGTGTCCTGTATTTGCTATCTGCTATTGGTAGTTTTTTAGATTTTGGGATCACACTTTGTTTGTTTAATCACCAAAGATTAAACCTTTGAAGTTTTTTTATGTTTTGAATCGAGCTGACATGTTAAAATATTATTACACACTTGAATGTTCCATTGTAAGATTCATTTTTCTTGATATGGGCGTATATGAATTGGTATTAGCTCCTGTCTTTCTTGAAACCGGTAGGTAGGTGTTTTGGCTTGTTTAGGTTATGAAATCTAACTTTGTAGCCTTATATTGGTTATTTCTGGCAAAATGGGTAGATTTTGGGTCACACATTGTTTCTTATAGCTAGTTGTTCATGCTCATAAACACACCAATTTTTGAAACCTATATTTAAACTGCATTTACATTTATGTATTACACTTTGAATATCCATTGTAAGATTCATTTCGTCTTGATGAATAGGATGTTAGTGTTTGTGAGTTCATCTGATGTGGACCTTCTTTGGTTGATTAGGTTTTGGAATCTAACATTGTAAGCATTATATAAGGCCACTTGTAGCAATTGGGTAAAATGTGGTCCTTCAATGTTTGGTCAAGTTGGTTACTTATTGCTGTTTATGACTACACATGAAATTAATAATATACGCCCCACCAAACTTCACAACTTTAGAATTGGATTTGGATGTGATTGTGATTATATTGTTGGAGGAGACTTGCTTCAATGCATAATATATGTTTTAAAGCGTAGTGTAGATTACCCTACAATGAAGGATCTTGCTTCTATTTCTTTTACTTTTCAGTTGTTGTAATGGTTTCTTTCCTTCAATCAGAGTAAAGCATAATCTTTTATTTTGTACCTACCATGTGAAGTGTGAACTGACATAAACAAAAGTATTTACTTTTGGAGAAAACATTTTAACTCTTACGTGTAAATGACTTGGAACAGACGAGGAGAGGAATCTTCAGCTGCTTCAACTGCTGCGTTAAAGCTTAATCGAAAGGCGTTTTCTTATTTATGATAATAATAACAATGATTTGAAGACAAGAAAATGGTAGTGACACCTTTTCATGTATGTTTTCATCTGATGCATCAATCAGAATTTCTCTGTTGTTTACTGTGTAATCTAACTATGTTTTGCTAAATGTCAAGTGTAGTGATTCATATATTTTTCTGTAATTTTGTTTGGTTTATTTAGACACTCATGCTAAATGTGAAGTGTTTTGTTTGTAGAGCAGATTTATATATAAAAAGAAAGAGTGGTATTTACTAGAAAGAGTCATATTTTTTTTTGCATTTACAACAATGGAATGCATACGTTAAGTTCAATAGTAATAAAAATCGAAGTTGAAACTCAATAGCTACCTTCAAGTTTAAAGAATCACAGAAATAGAAGTTTGGGATTGAATTTATAACTCCATACAGACTCGCAAGTAATGTGAGGTACAAGATCAAGATGATGGCCTAGACTTATAAAAAGGGTTGATCGTAGATTTTAGAAAAAAGGACAAAGCCGAAAGAGAAGAACCCAATTCGTGATGCAAAGGCCTTGTCTCTGTTCAAGTACTTTTATATATTTGAAAAACTGGCAGAGTAGCAACAAAGTTGATATGGCCGAGTTGGTCTAAGGCGCCAGATTAAGGTTCTGGTCCGAAAGGGCGTGGGTTCAAATCCCACTGTCAACAATTCTCTTTTTTAGTGTGTAAATCCTTTGTTTTTTTAACTCACAGGTCTATGTCATCTAAACTGACTACTGAAATGGATTTTGAGATGGTTTTTTTCCGTGGTTCATGTGGAGATTGATTCAGTTAAGATAATATTTTCAGTTAAGTACACAAAGTCACAAATCATTTAGCAAGTTACTTTTTGACTTCATACTTAACACTGTTCGTTTCAAATTTTCAAGGCTACATTGCAAAATTTATTATGGAACGCATGAGATTTAACATGCCAAATCATTCCATGAGTCATGATCATCGAGCCACCCTTTCGACAACAATCTTCGTCTTCTTCCTTTATTTTGCTTTTTTTTTATAAAAACCATAGCTAATTAAAAAGAAATCAAAGATTCTTCTTCTTTTCAGCATCAGATGGTGATGGTTTCTTCTTCAAAGCCGTCCGTACAATGACAAAAGATCTTTGAGTCTGTAAGATTCAGAGTTTAGATGATCAAAGCTCGTCGAACTCGGAATCCTCCAACCCCAATTCCCCACCTTTTTGTGTAACAAAAACCCAAAAAATCACATTGTTAGAGACTATTTCTCACAAACCGGGTCCCCAAATAAATTACTACTGCTATCAGTTTTGTTCTATAATGGGAAGTTAGAAACCAATAAAAGAAAACGAAATGGCAGTGATAGAGAGAACATGGCTAACCTCAGTGGCTGGAGTGTTCATCCTGGCAGAACTTCCAAGTCCGAGAATGTCTTGCATCGGTATGATTGCCGTTTGAGCAGTAGAAGATAATGCAGCTTGGATTACTGACCATGAGATATCTTCTTCTCCAGCTATCGACAGGTATTTCTTTGCCTGCATCACAGAGGATATCGCCATTGTGAATATCATAAAACCAAAAACTGAAACAAATTCCTGTTTTATGCTATGAGATAGTGAAATGACCTTTGACTTCTCTTCTTGGTCCAGAGTGTCCCACCAACCTCGAATCTATTCACCAAAGACAAATCAATGAGACAGATACAATTCTTCTTGTTCTTTTTTTTATAAGTTTGGTAAATTCAACTTACAGTGTCGTTGTCATGAGTTCCAGAGTATACAACTTGGTTTACTTCATGATTGTGAGGTAAATGTGGGTTATCGGCGCCGCCCCCAAAAGCTGAAATTATACAAGAATAAATGTAGAATTGATAGATATTTGAAGACAGTAAAGAACATGAGGAAGCCAAAGCTATTTTACCAAATTGGAGGACGGCCATTCCAGGCGCTCCAATAGATTTCCTCAGCTCAACTACATCTTTAGTAATAACTCCCTGTCTTATTGCAAAGTGTATCCTCCATTAGAAAACAAACAAATACCAGATTTTCAAATTGTAAATATGCCTAGCAGAAACAGAGCATATGATTCTACACTAGTACACTCGGATTATTGAGGAACAAGGGATATCGCGATTTTCTGCTGATCTAAGATGTTATTCCACAATCGAATAGTCAGCCATCAATTATCTCTCTATGGACATCTCATGTTCGATGTAAACTACAAGCAAGTCTTGCAAGTGCATTATAAACTAATAAATTGATGCATATCTATTATAACCTATCGGGTTGAGCCTCATGTAAGTGCTAAGTGTTTGAATTATTGAGTCTGATAGCTTACCAAATCTTCAGCTATGATTTTGATCTTCCCAACGCCTCTTGAAATAGCATCAAATAAAGACTTTCCAGGTCCAACCTACATTGATACAACTTCTTAGGTTCTTAGTTTCTTTACCTTATTTCATTTTACATCAATGAATTAAGCAAAGCACCTTCCATCGTCCAACCATAGCAACTTTCGCTTCTACAGAATATCAAAGCTGATCAGTCCTGCGACAATACTAATCCAATATGTACCCAACATTTATGATAAGTCACTTTTTTACTTTGAATTTAAACTCACCAGAAGGGACCGCCCAAAACCCTGCAAATCCTCTAAAATGATCTATCCTGCATTCATCATACAAGTCCTGTGCACGTCGTATTCGATTAACCCACCAAGAATATTGGTCACTCTCCATTGCTTTCCAGTCATAAAGAGGGCTTCAAATCAAATATTGGAAAATATCAGTAAATACTATGGTGAGGAAGAAACATAAAAGAGACTGAGGGGTTAACAAGTTATGGAACAATTGTGAAGTACAACAAATGGTTTAGGAAAAGCCAAAAACATTTTTACGTTGAACATGCCACAATAACATTGTTTAGTAATAATGTTACATCGGATAAATTATAAACTACAAACAAACAGTGGCCTTTCCTACTTATCTAAGTGAAAAGAGAAACAAAATGTTATCAATAAACTAAAATACTAGAGTGAGTCGCATCGATACCTTCCCCACAATTGACCCGTTTCACTGAACAAGTCAGGAGGAACACCGCTAACAAGAAGAGGAAAGCCTTTCTTGTTCTGCATAAAGATATTAAAAAAAAAAAATAATAATAAAAAGGAAGAGTGACCTTCAGGAAAGTTTGAATTTTGTTCTGGCATATACGATAAGATTGTTTGCCTCCATATGTTAAAATTTACTTGCCAGTAAGAAATGTTTCTTATTTGCCCAAACGTCTGCACTGTGATATCCTACATAAATGGGCATATCCCCCATTATATCAACTCCTTTCCCCCGTGCATACTCACGAACATTCTGCCACTGCCTTTGGAACAAAAATTGCTTGGCAATGAACAAGTCTATCTGCAGCAAAGAAGAAGAGGTTACACTCAGGAGGATTTCACAATTCACTAATCCATGATGAAATCAAATCCAAATAGTTAGCAAGAGCCACCAAAATCTTACAAACTCCTTTTGACTTTGATATATAGCTTCCAAGGCTGAAAGATGGCGATTTTTAAGTGGTTCAGGCCACTCAAACCAACTGTATGCATTTAAAGTATTGTCAATAGCTGCAAAATATGCAGCATCTTCAAGCCAACCTATAGATAGTGAACATGTCATCCTCAATGAAATGTTGCTATCCAGATTAAGCCAATGCACTGTTAAACAAATAAATATTTTTTAAAATTGTATTATTCTCACATGATATAGAGGGGTTGTTACGAAAATCTTGCAGTTTGCTCTTCAGTTCACCATTGGCACCAATAAGCCTCTTTGCTGCCTGAGAAAAGGTCAGTGATCAAAGTTTACTTATCAAGCCAATAGACCAGTAAGTTGCTGAATTTGTGTGAGCTAGAGAGTACCAAGTGAGATGGTTTGCAGCCAGGTTGTTTACCTTAGTTATCAGGGGACTCTTTAACTTGTTGGCAGTTTGATAGTTCACACAGTCAGCATCACTGGTTAATATAAAATATCAGAAAATTGAAGGAGACCCACAAAAAATAAAGTGCATTTAGAAATCATGTAGAAGATTAGTACATTGGTTGTGGGAGCTCATCCTTCAATAATAAGCCATCCTTCACAAGCTCATCAAGAGAAATCAACAATGTGTTCCCACAATTTGCATCCTATAACTAGAAGCAGTTAGCAGTAACAACTGAGAAACAAAAAAAAACAACTCTGGAGAATTCTCGACACAAACCTGCCCTGCATAAGGAGATCCTCCTTCGTCTGGAGGAACAAGAGGAAGAACCTGCTCATGGAATAGATGTTATTAGTAATGTCAATAAATTGGACCTTAAAAACTTCATCTACTCGAAAGATTCAAAGTTCAATTCAAAACTCAGTACTTGGCAAGGATGTCAAAAGATCAACTTATCCCTCAGAGAAACTCACCTGCCAAACGGAACAACCAGTAGAATGAAGCCAATCGATGAACCGGAAAGCCTCTTCTCCGAGATCACCAATGCCGTGAGGACCGCGAAACGACGTCGGATGAAGCAAAACGCCAGCTCTTCTCCGGCTCTCGGGATCCGGAACCGGTAGCCAATGCTCATACTCTGCTGGGAAATCTTCACCAACGCTAATAGAGGAAAGAGAAGTGGAATTGCTCGATGCAACGACCTCCATCCGGAACGACTGCGACAGTTTTGTCCTGTTCCTAAAAAAAGCTGCGTCGGATAGTGATACCGGAGAGGATAATCGGAAAAGCTTGAGAGAAGAGAGTGAAGGAGACGAGCTAAGAATCATCGTCATGGAAAATGATCATCAATTGAAAGCTCCACTCTCCCACGACGCATCAGATAGATGACCAGTGAGTGAGTGAGGAGAAGATATTTTGTTGTTGCTTGCTCATTTGCAGAACAGTAGGATCGATCACGTGATGATCACGAGTTGGATGGAAATCTCGTGAATGGCGCCATTTTTAAGGCCGTATTATGGGCTTTTTTAAGGCCGACGAGATCGGATCTTATATCTTTAAAAATAAAAAACCCATGATCCATTAATAAATCGGATTCTTTTTTTTTTGGTAATGATTAATAAATCGGATTCTACACTCTTCAGAAACTCTACCTTTACTTAAAATCTTTCGGCTATTTTATTTTCTGTTTTATAGTCAAGGTTATTATTTTTCAAATAATTTAAATTCAGTGTTATTTACAGTTTACAGGTGAGGTGAGAGGACCACTCTTGAAGATTTTTCCATTACAGGAAAAAAAAACATTATTGCATTGGAGAATCAAGAATGGTCCCCCGATGCATTAGTAAAAGCAGCCATCATATCATAATAAAGTGGTAGGTGTTTCGACTGATGGATACACATACATATATTTTACAAATACATATATCTCTCTGTAATAAGGTCCACATACACAAAACTGCATTCAATTACTGAAGCTGAAGTAATGTAACGTTAATCAAATTTTTTGTAATCCATTCCATCTAGAATTTTTCTTCTATTCAAAAGAGAGACTAATAACTTTAGCACGCAATAATAAATAATAATTAAAACACACTTGAAATTTGAAAGCCAACTTTAGAAAAACACTGATCCTTATCGAATCTCCTAGTCAAAGTCACATTAGTCAGGTGCTATTTGTCCTGTTTATCATCTCTAAACAAACCCCAAACGCTAAAAATATTCATAATTAAAGAGAGGCACACTTGATCATCCCCTCTGTTGTTGAGCCTGAAGGGATTGTTTGGGCTCAGCACCGCGCAATGTACCAATCCAAGCCGGTGGCTGCATCCCGGTCTGCTCATAAACCGTATCAAGAACCGGTGGCAACATCTTGTAGAGTCCAGCAATATCCTTCATTGTATTACCATTACCACCACCGTTCATCCCCTGCTCTGCACCACCTTCACCAAAGTTCCACATAGAGATCTTAGGCTGCAGGTCCCTGATCGCAATTGCATTGGTCTTGGCGATTTCCTGATAAATGCCATTGTTGATCATCAAGAAGTCTCTCATGGCTGAGTAATCATTGTTGACTGCGCCTAATAGGGTCTTTAGATAAGTCCCCTGAGCATCTGCCATTGCGACAAGTCCCTCTGCATCTTTCTGTTTCGAGTAGAAGGCTGCATCAGCTGCAGCTTTTGTCGCCTCCGCTTGCTTCTGCTTCTCGTAAAGAATAGCTTCTGCTTGCTTCTGCTTATTGTACAACTCCCAGTTCGCTTCTTGTACCTGTTTGTTTAAACAACAATGCCATGTCATGTTCCAAAACAGAGAGAAAGAGAGTTCAAAGAAAAGTCTAAAGACTGTGATATGCATTACCTTAGTTTCATACTCAACGCTGGCTTTACTGAGGAACTCAGCTTTAAGCTTCTCTGTCCGAGTCAATGCGTTCATTTTCTCAACTTGAGTCTGAAGCTCAGCTTCCCTTAAAGCAACAGCCTTGGCTGCTTCAACCTCAGCCACACGAGAGTTTTGCGACAAAGCAGCCTTCTGGATCGCCAGTGCTGCATCAGCCTTAGCAACAAGAGCCTCTTTCTCATTCTGAAACACTTTGACCTCAGTCTTCACCTTGATCTCCTCTTTTGTCCCTTCTCCTAGCCTCTGAGTGGATATGATCTTTGACTCAGCGTCAATCTTGGCTGCGTTCTGGATTGTAAGTCCAGTCCTTTCTTTGGCACCAACCTCTCCCTTCATCTTTGCCTCTGCTACATCAATCTTGGCTTGGTTTGCTGCCTCCATCTGGGTTTTCTGGCCCAAGTAAGAGAAGTACTCATGTCCAGGCACATCAACGAGCTGCTTCACATTGGCGTTGTAGATCACAAGACCAAACTGGTTGAGCTCAAGCTGAACCTTGTCAAACACTTCCTTCTTGAACTCCTTTGTTCCTACAGTGCCACAATTAGATTGTCATATAAACAAGAAATTATACATATACTGATATACACACAAACAGTTCCTCGTTATAATCACGAACTAAAACAAACAGAAATCAAACTTCCATGTCAAGCAATTGAATCCGTGATAAAAGAGGGAAAAAAAACTCGAACTTTTAAGGTTTTCTCGGAGAATCTCTATGTACATATAAACAAATCGGGTGTGTGTGTTTACCTTTGAAGACCTCTTCCATGGTCATGGAAGCAACAAGAACACGAGTCTCTCCTTCGATAACACCCTGAACAAGCTCATTGACGTGGTTGGAGTGCTTGTCGTGTTGAGACATAAGCATGGCGTACAACAAGAGAGCGTGGGGGTCGTCAACGCGAGGGCCTATGGTGAAAACAGCGGGAATAACAAAGGGAAGCTTCTCGGAACTCATAGCCTGGACCTCGAACGTGTAGTTCACAGGAGAAACGTCGAAGACGGTGCAAGACTGCCATGGAAACACCCATGACTTCTTCGCAAGCTTGATGTCTTTGATCCCACCACCGGTGATCGCAAGATACTCCGATGCTCTAGCGACTTTGTAACTCATTCTTCTTCGCCTTCTCTGGAAACTAGGGTTATGTTAAGATTTAGGTGTTTTTCTGATTCGAGGTTGTTTGTGTGTGTGGGAGAGAGATCACAAGATGCTTTTACTTATATATATACGAGTCCTTCATACGCGCATCAAATAAAAGGAAAAAAGGAAAACAAAAAAAAAAAGAGAATAGAAGGGAAAAAAACAAATATTCTTTGAATTACTCATTTTTTTATTTTTTTATGTTTTAATTATTCAATTTACGTTGACTATATTTTATTTCTTCTATGTTTATCAACATTTACTATATTTTCTTATATGTTAAATTAGTATAATATTATTTACTCAAACCATATTCTATATTCTTCTTTAATTCGTAGATTCTACGAAGTTTCATTATATTATAAGATTAAATCATTTTAATTTTTATGAATTGAATGTTACAAGATTATATAACTGAATGTTTGTGGAAATCTTATAGTTTGGCTTTATATATCAAACACAATTTATTTATTAAACGATAAATACTTATAGATTTTAATGCAATATATAAGGTGAAGCATCCAAGAAATTTTGACCATCTATAAGTTAAATTTTAATATAGAAAAATTACACTTATCCAAAGAAATTAGTATAGATAAGTTTTTGCTTACGTTTATGATAATCGGTTTGTAGTTGAATTTAGATAATTTACTAGATAAGTTTCTCATAAGTTTTTTTTTTTTTTTTTGGTGATATCTCATAAGTTAATATAATGCAATAATCAATAAACAAATTACATAAAATTAGAGATAATTCAATTTTTAACTATTAAACCAATTAACGCGTTACGCGTGGACTAACCAAACAAAAAACAAGATTTTGTGCCGTTATTTTCTCGGGGTGACCTGAATACCACAGCTCTGTCGTTTTATCTTTACCCCCTTTCACCGTCGTCTTCGTTTGATTGTCTTCTCTTCTTCTTCTCTTCCTTCCTCAATCGTTTCGTCAAAGAGAGATTCGATTCAGAATCTCTCCTCTTCCCGGGGTACAAAGTCCTCATCTTTCTTCATAAAATGGTAGATTCCGGGAGAGAGTTTTTTATGTTAGATAATATCCCATGGCTAATTTGGATCCAAATGTTCATCTTCGTCCTCCTCTTGCTCCTCCTTTGTGTCGTCGGAATATTCTCCTTAGATATCGGAGATAATAGTTGCTCGTCTTCTGATTCTGTTCCTTCTACCTCCGGTTCATCTCTTTCTTCTAAGAGATTTCTTTCTGGGAATCCGATTCCGATCAGCCACCATGGTCTGGGTTTCACCGTCAATTCAAGTCTGTTACAGTCTAATCAGGTAACTTAAAAACCATCTCTCTCTTTCAATTTTGTAGGCGAGTCGTGGATTCAGTCGTACCTGCTCTACGTTGACTTGCTTTTTTCACATACTGAGATCTCTTGATCTTCGAATGCTGAATTAGATTATTAGTAGTCTGTGAAGATGATTTCAGTAAGATCGTCGTTGTTTCTTTCTTCATTCAGCTTCTTCGTTGTGCTTTCTGGGACATTGGGAAAAAGAAGAAGTAATGGGGGATTTGCTAGAGGTTTATGGAACTTAAGGGGTTTAGATTGCAATTAAAAAATTAAGGGGGAAAGTGGCAGCCATAATTAGCTGGAAAGTAACCACATTTGTGTTAGCTAAAAGTTGAAATGATGGCTCTTTTTCAATGTTCTGGGTTCTGAAATTAGCAAATAGTGAAAAGGTTATCTAAACATAGGGAATGTGATCTTTCTAATTATGGTTTTCTGGATCATAATATAGTTGTGGTTAAAGGTCTTTTAACAAAGTCATTTTCTCTCAGTTTTTACATGTATGTATGTGTTACGATCTCTTGGTCTATGTTTGGAAGTTTTTGATTTCTTTTAAGTGTCTCTTTCCTATTTTGTTGGTTGTAGCTTTTAGGTAACGAAACAAGGTTGTTGTTTCCTTTGGTGTTAAGCTTTGCTTGCTGAGATCTCAGCAGACTTTTCTAGTTTTGTCTTAAAGCAACAATTAGCTTTCTCTCTTGGCTTCTTTACACAGTGTTGTGGTGCTATACCTGTTTCAATAGGGAAGGAGAGCTGAAATGTTATTTGGACGTTTTGATTTTGATTATTTGCTTATATGACTCGAGATTCTTAGAATAGAGAGTGTAGATTATATACTTTTACAAACAAGAAGCTATAAATTTAAGTCTCGTTTCAGACATTTGGATCATGGATTCAGAAAAGAGTTTGTATTTAACAGTCCTCTTCAAATTTTTTGTGTCCCCTCTGTCATTGTATCACATACCAGTTTACTGGATTAATGAGTACACGCATTGGTGTTGCATTGCATCTGTTTGTAATATGATTAATCACTCTCTTGTTTTTTAGATTAATTGTCTGTTAATATAAACCCATCGGTTTTTGCAATCATAGATTGGAAACTCTCAAAGCATAAAAGGAGAGATCGAACCAGCAGTAACAAGGAGAGTGACAACAACAGAGGAAGCAGCAGAAGGTTCGTTGGAGAAAGAGTCGAGTCATAATTTGCATCATCCGTGTAATTTGTTTAGGCTGGCTGGGTCTGCGTTTCTAAAGTGTTTCGGGATTGGCACCGAAGAAACAGAGGATCCTCTGAGACAAGAATCTAAAAAAGAGAGATGATTAAAGCTCTTGTGAATAGAAGAAAGAACATACTAACACCTTTTCATATGTGTTGTTGATCGTAGGTAGCAATTGAGTAGGAGAGATTGAAGAAACTTGTAAGTATATAAAAAAAGGTCAAATTGTTGGGGGTAACACGAACGAGTTGTCTCTAACGCATTCGTTTTTTTTTTTTTTTTTTGGCGTGAAACTATTGTTTTCATTGTGGTTAAATTATTTTTATCTGCGGTTATTTTCTGTGGTGCCGGGTGCGTGCGTTGCATGCATCTTAATGTAACTTTTTTATAAGAGGAAAAATTACTTATCTAAACAGAAAACAAAATTACAGTGCAAATATCCGGATCTAAAGTTTTAAAATCAATAAAAGTGAGCAATTAAATGACAAAAATACTGATTTGATTAAATACTTACTACTACTAATTTACGAAACAAATGCTTTCACAAAGGTTGATACTACATTAACAAAAGCCATAATTTTAACTAATTGAACCAACTTATACACCAACTTGGAAAGAGTTAACTATTAAAACCAACTTAACGGGCGCTTTGACGGCTTCCTCGACCGCGTTAGGAGAACAAGGGAATGTATCTTTGACATAAGTGAGTGTGTTGTGTCTACACACATGCATACACATCACACAAGTCAGTCAACTCACAGATTTTAAACAAACTAGTAGAGAGACAGAGTCATCCAAAGCCACTTGCTTATTTTTACGTTAAATCATATTGCAAAGTCTTTAAGAAAATTGTATTATATACATGTTCGAAGACTCATTCCAACTACCGAGTTAACACACTATATATAAATTCACAGTTGTCTCTCTTCAGTTTACTCACATCTAGAGATACAAAGCTGTCTCTCTCTCTCTCTCTGATCCATAGCTGCTCAATAAATCCTCATCTCAGCAAATTATCAGATCTCAATGGACAAACTAGTAAGCCAAAGGGAAGAAGAAACTTATCTACGGATTCCATTTCAGTTTCTCGACCAAACTGTCATAGCTATCTTCAAGTGTCTTGGTCTTCTTTGTCCGACAGCGAAGAGACCAGCCTCGTCCCCGGTGACTTTAAATCAGCCTGAGCCGGTAAGCTTTTCCTTTCACAATATTCATCGAATATCTAATTATTTTCTGTTGTTTTAATTTCTACGTTATACAGTATAAATGTGTTGTTTTAGGTAGATTGATGAAGTTTATAATATTTGGGTTTTAATACCAGAATATGATAAATGAGGAGCTAAACGTGTGTTTGCTATTACAGGAGGATCAAGAATATGATGTTGACATGAAAGACGATGAAGATGTCGTTCTGTTGACTAGAGGCGGAGGCCGCAAGAAGACCAGAGGAAAGCAAACGGATAAAGAAAAGACTAGTAAAGGTCGTCGTGGCCAAACTAATAAAATACCAAAGGCAGCAGCAGCCATACAAGTGTCTGGAGATTAACAAGTCCTGGAATCGAAATAACCCAAGAGACTTACCCTGTTACCCAGTAATATATCAATTAGGCGTTTGCTCCTCTCTTTGTTTCCTCTCCTACTTGAAAACTTCAATATTAGGCCTTGTTTTTTCTTTTAAGACAACAATATTTGACCACACGTATATGTTTTTATAAACGAGTAACTCAGACTATAACTATATGCTTTTGAAATCGGGACGAAGCCATATCTAGTCTAAGCTATATATTCTGACTTTGACATTTTTTATCACCAAACTTTGTTTACCTTGTAATATTAGCACCATGTGTATTATTGATTGTAATAGCTTCCAGCTGATTACAAAACTAATAATATGTTGTTATGTCTATAACAATATTTAAACTATAGTTATACATATTTTAAACAGATAATTATTGAGTTAGTTAGATTAATCAACTTAGCAACACATAAACACAACATAAAACTTCTTCGCTGGTCTCCACGAGTAAACGCCTAATTCTTGTATTATTATTACTAGTGGCGAGTGGCGACCACGAGAACCAAAGGCCAACTTTAATTGACATTTTGTTTATTTACATTTTCCTTGTGGCTTTGGATGTACCAATTGTAAACTTATTTAAACAGTTCTAAACGTAAGAAAATTGTGATAACAACAAACAATCATAAATTCATAAATTATTTTTCGAAATTCGTAATTCATAATTTATTTTCCGAAATTCGTAACTATAGTCCAATCTATATTCCATAATTCGTCATCGGATGAGTGAACTGTTTTCGTCTGTTTATTCCAATTTATTAAAATACAAAGCCGAGTCATCAAGCTGCCTAAAGCCTTAAACCACATGCTTATCTTCACTAATAACAACAAATATAACATTAGTATAATTATGCTTGAATTAATTTTATTTCTTGATTTTCGTTTTGTTTTGTCAACTAATTAATCAAGGACTCAGAAAAGTGACTTTATTATTTATTCATATTCGAAAGTCACGATTTAAGAAAATGTATTAAACTATAGAAAGAGTCGCACCAAATACCGAGTTACTCCACTATAAAAAAGGCAAAGCTATCTCTCTGATCTCTACGCCCAATCACTCACATCTAAAAGAACAGCTTCACTCCTCTCAGGCTTCTCATATTAAATAAAAGCTTTACTCATCTTATCAGATCTCAATGGAGAAATCAGACAGACAAAGCGAAGAAGCAACTTACTTGTGGATTCCTCTTCAGTACCTCGACCAAACTCTCAAAGCTATCTTGAGATGCCTTGGTCTTTTTCATCAAGATTCTCCGACAACGACGAAAACAGCGTCGTCTCCAGGAACTTCAACCCAGCTGGTATGTTTTGGATTAATATGGGATCTGGTTTGTTGTGTATATGCATGGAAAAACAGCTAAAAACCCATTTAGTCTCTTCTTTAAATCGCAAAAAAAAAATGTTAAAATTTTGGAAGTAAAATTTTCAGTTAAAATTCTGTATTATAATAATTTATTTTATTTCCAATCACTTTTTTCATAGTCAGGAAGTCAGGACCAAAGTATTTAGCTGTTTTTTACTTTGAGGTAAATTCTGTTAAATCAAGTTTGGATGAGGGAAAATAAAAAGGTTTATACGAGAATAACGATGATTTGAGTTAGAAATATTCAGTCAAATAACATCATAATTCGAGTAGTTTATGTTTTTGGTTGAAAAGGTGTTAATTTTGAGTAGTTGTATACTCCAAACTTGCTTTTAGTAATATATAGTATAATATAAAAGTATGAACCCAAACTTGTGTTTCTCTACTACTTGCAGGAGGAAGAAGAAGAAGAAGAAGAAGATGTTACCGTGAAAGAGGAGGAGGAGGAGGAGGAGGAGGTCGTTGTGACGTCAAGGGGCCTCAATCGCGGCGTCGTTGTGAAGAGTAGAGCTACAAAGGTCCAAGCTAAGTCAAGGGGGAAGGAAACAGTTAGCAGAGGACGTCGTGGCCAACACCATTAGCACTTCTCTACATCACATTATTAATTAGCTCTCATTTATTTTGCAATCTATTACATTCTTAATTTGATATTATTGTTATCGTACTGTTTACTTTCTATGACCTATTAACAACAATCTACCGACACACGACAATAAATCTACTTCATCCATCTATAATAAATTATAATTATAATTATAATTTCCTTCTTCATAGTCTTATTTGTATCTGATTAATCTAAACACAAAATTGCATTGTATATGTACGTAACGTTCATGTCGTTGTTGTCAAGTGTAGTAAAATATAGTAGTAGTAGTTAACTAGTTATATTTGAAATGATTTTGGGTTTAACCATCAGAAGTGCATAACCAGTATCAGTATTAATTGAACGCATTTATTATCCATCTCTATCGAACGTATCCGTCCAAGGTTAAACATTAAAGACGTTACCTAATTCATAATCATAATTTTGGATCCATTTTAACAGTCAACAAGCTATTTCTTCTTCTTCTTCCTACCTAGCAAGCTCACATTAATTACATTACATCAAATCATAGAGCACTACATACATATTTGCAAAACGAATAAGCAAAAGAGAGAAAAACAAAAAAAAGATTCACCTAACTAATACTTTCAAACAAAAGAAAAGAAAGTGTGGTGAATCAACATTCAAGATTGAACAACAGCTAGTTCTTCCTAGAGACCAAAACAATATTGTCCAAAGCTAGATCATGTATAAGAAGATAAAATCAAAAACCTTAAACCCAGTGTCAGTGATGAATTGATCATATATTCATATCCTATTCGTATATCACAACGTGCAATATAATATACATACTCCAGTTGATGGGTGCTGTCTATGATTAACGCATAATGACTATATAATTTAATAAAATATACATACTCCACGAGCACGAGGGGAAGCAACAAACTACTAACTTCAATTATGAAACCAATTAGAACATTCTTCACTGTCACTTCTAGAGATCTCTTCATACTTATATAAATTAAGAAAACATTTCATAAACATTCACATGCCATAATTTGGTGAAAGTCTCACCTCATCGAAAAAACCATTGTAATACACAACAAGGTGTGGTCAGTTTAAAGTTTGGTGTGGTCTTTGTAGTTGAGTAGGCCTACAATAAATAATAATCATTCCCAGATTGAAAATAATACAATTTCTCTATAGGGGCCACGGTTGTGACTTGTTATGATGACCATACACACACATACATAAATGTATAAAGCCAATGGCGACCATTGAATTAATCCAAAGAATATATGTTCAATCATTATCTTAGTGTTTTGGATATACAAAGTGTGACAAAATTTTAAACGCTGGAATAAAGTTAAAATATTTTTCAAACGTAATTCTGTAGTATTTATTATTTTCATGACTATTTTAAATTCTCATGCAATAAAAAAAGTTTTTTTCCCTTTCAGATAAACAAAATTGAACAAAAAATAAGATAATTGGGTTTTTGGTGTGTTTGTATGTTTTGATATTAGCTTTTATTTGAATAATTTCAAAGATCATTCTTTGAATGACCACCAATTTAATCAACCTTTGTTTAATAACTTACTTAATTCAAAGAAAAACCAAAGAAAGAGCGTGAATGGGACTTTGACCAAGACCAAAATTCTCAAAACTCCACGCACTTGCTGCTATATTTTGACCGTGCGTCACGTAGACCGGAGTCAAAATTGTTCCTTTTTTTAATGCTCTTCAGCCATACCATAAGTCAAATATGCATCTTGGTTATCAATAAACCGGCACCAACTTTTCCAATTACAAACTCTGCTGTATGTATTCACCAAACAACAAAACCGGTTTATCTTTTATCATAGTTCATAGACCGTGTCAACACACATTTATAATTGACCAACAACAACAATCCAAGTATCCCTATCTCATCACATCCCTATAAAAGGAGTCGCAACTGCGTTACCAAGTTCCATCATCAACCTAACTACACACAAAATACTCAGATCTCTCTTTCGTAAAAATATTTAAAGAGAAAAAACTTAAGGAGTCAACATTAATGGAGAATATGAGAAACGCCGGCGAAGAAAACGATTCTCACAGGATCCCATTTACCTTCTTTGATCAATCTTCACTAACGATTCCTATCTTGAAGTTTTTTGGTCTCGACTATTCTTCTTCTTCATCATCATCATCTGGTGGTCTTTGTTCTTCATCTCACAGCGAGGAAGATGAAGGTATGGTTATAAAGGAGGAGGAGGAGGAGGAAGATGATATGACCGTTGAACTTAAAACCACAACGCAGCTGTTGCAGAAGAGTAGGCCCAAGCCTCCCACAAGCTCTGGTAAAGGAGGAAAACATAATTAATTAGGTTTCTTACAAATCTATCTTGTTCGAATGTATAGTATACTACTGAGGAAACAAACACAATAAATGCATATATATATGTATACAATACAGACTTAGCAAGCATCTGTTATATATATAATAGACTTTGAGTCATTTATTTTTGAATGAGTATTGGATTCATAAAGACTGGAGTTTGTTTATTTTTACAAAGCTTGTTTCAGAAAAGAAAAGAAAAAAAAAGTTTATTTTTGCACAACTAGTCATCTATCATCGCATAATTGCGTAAGATAAGTTGACACGATCTTGTCCAATCACTGCCTACCTATGATATGAGTGAGTGTGAACGGTTTTTTAATTATTGCAGCTTCAACCAGTATGGGCCTTGTTTCTTTGGTCCATTAATGATTTGTAATGAGAATTTATCAGCCCATAAATGGTGTCTTTGAGATAATAATTTTGTCTTCTTTTCACTCTTTTTTGTTTTACCAGGAAATCAAAATATTAGTATTATCCAGCTTTGTTTTACATGTGTTAACTATTTATTATTGGAACATTTATTTTACACAAATATGAGCTGGATGGCGTTAATAATTGTTATAAATTTCCATTTACGTATTCATCATACACAATACCCAATATGACTTGGCCGTTGGATGAAGGACACGTCAGCGATGTACACACGTAATAAATTTAAATAATTACGATTTTAGTCCTTTAGTAAGCCCCCGCGCTAATTGTTTTCCTTTTTGGGGGAAAATAAAAATGGAAAAAAGGAAAAAAATAAAAGTAACAAACTCTTAATTAGCTCCTCCTCTTCACTCCTGCAGTACGGGTGGGGGGGACGTTAAAATCACGCAAGAAAGGACGACAGGAAAAGGAAGAGAGAGAGGTACAGTCCAAAAAAAACCTCTTCGTCTTCTTCGTTGTTTTTCGAATTTCTCCGATTCTAACCGCCATTAAACCCTAGCTTGCTTTTTCTCTCTTCTTCTTCTTCTTCCGAAAGCTTAAGATTCACATTCGCCTCCTCCCGCTGATATTTTCCTTGTTTCTTTGATTTTGTTTTGGTTTAGTCACACTCGAGAATGAGGAAGACAGCGAAGAAGAAGGGAGGTTCGCGCGGAGGCCGTAAAGCTGGTTCTACTTCGTCGGCGACTAAGAACGATGATGCGGTGGTAGAGACCTCGACGCAGGAGACTCAGCCTACTCAGGAGACTCAGTCTACTCAGGAGGCAGAGGAAACGGAAGCTAAGGTGGAATCCCCGCAGCCTGATAAGGAGGGAGATCACGCAGAAGAGGCGAAAGAGAATCGGGAGGAGGAAGCGGCGAAGGTTGATTCTAAGCCTGCGGATGAAGGTGATAAAGAAGAAGAGGCCAAAGACGATCAGGAGGAGGAAAAAGAAGAGGCCAAAGACGATCAGGAGGAAGAAGCGAGAGAGGATCAGAAGATGGATGAAAGTGCGAGCCAAAAGGAGGAGGGGAAGGGTGCGTCTTCTTCACCATTGCAGCTTCGTCGTGGGAAGCGTAAGAGAGTTACAAAGACGGAATCGGAGAAGAAAACCACTCCGAGAGCCAAGCGAGCCAAAGCAACCAAGGCGCAAGAGGATGAGCCTGAGTACTTCAAGGAGAAGCGTAATCTGGTATGCTATTTTCTTACTCATTTTCTGGTTTTGATTTACTGTTTTCACGTTCGACTTAGATTTTTTGAGTTTGATTCTATGAGAAACGTTAAGGATTTGTTACTAGTCTTTCGTTGACTGGTTATGTGTCTGGTTTAACGATGATTTTTATAGATCTGAGATGTTTTCTTACGTTTTCTTGTATAGAAGAGGAAGACGCATATGTGGTTGTGGCAGAATGTAATCTCATTGGTGTGATATAGTGTTACTTATTCAACTAATTTTCTCAGAAGATTGGTGTGATGTCACCTTTGTTTGGGTTTTTTTCCATTCCTCTTATGATTGTTGTGTATTACAGGAGGATTTGTGGAAGGCTACATTTCCAGTGGGAACGGAGGTATTTAGTTTCAAGTAGCTTGGCAGCAACATTGCCTTTGGAGCTTCATGATTAAACTATTTTATTTGTGGCTTATGCTCTGTAAATTGTGAATACAGTGGGACCAACAGGATGCACTTAGTGAATTCAACTGGGATTTTACAAATCTTGAAGTAAGTGGCTTATATCATACTGTTTCATTGCCCACTGTAATAAGTTATGGTTCATTTAGTATCCTAAGAGGTACTCTTTGCTTTGTATGACAGGAAGCGCTGGAGGAAGGTGGAAAGCTCCATGGGAAGAAAGTCTATATTTTTGGCTGCACTGAGTGTAAGTTATTACTTTTCCTCCTTAGACTGGTTATTTGTAGATGACACTATTTGTTTCTTACACTGATTATTCGTAGATGACACTATTTGTTTCTTACACTGGTTATTGCATTGTCCATCTCTCTATTCCCCTTTTGATTTCTTCTATCTGATTATTGCAGCTCACTCACTCCCTTACAAAAATAAAAACAAGGATGTCCTTGTTCCTGCTGTCGTTTGTGTAAGCTTTGGTTTCGTTTCTTGTATCATGTCCCCGGTGTTTAAATAATAAACTTGGCATTGTAATTCGTTGTATTGGAAGACAAGATCATATTGTTTGATACCTGATAGTTAGTTTTGTTTCTAATCTATTTACAGATCGAATCATCTATTCCCCCTTCTGATAAGATAGGAGTTGCATCAGTTCAAGGAGAGGTTGGGGAAATCATTCCAATGAAAACTATGAAAATGGCTTGGGTTCCTTACGTCCCACTTGAAAAAAGGTATATAGATTTCCTGAGTTTCACATATTTTTGTGTGTTACTATTCTTATAATGTTTATGGGAGCTGTGGCTAAATTCATCTGCTTTTTGTTCTTCTGCAGGGATAGAGAAGTTGATAGGATGAACTTTCAAATTTTCGTCTTGAGCTGTAGTCAGAGAAGGTAAATAATATGTGGTATCCTTTTCTCTCAGTGTCTTTTTACCATGATAGTTATAGAAGACGCGATTTGTTCATGTGCTTGTAGAAAAAAAAGAATTACATAACATAAGGTTTTGAAGCAGATTGCTTCAGAAAGTATTATGCAACACTTCTCATTTCTTCGCTTATTTCCATTCACATTCAGCAACTTAAAGTGCAGAAGTCGTTGTATTCAGTCTAGCTTTGTATATATTCTTTGCAGGTCTGCTCTCAAACACTTGAAGGACGATCGCGTTAAAAAATTCAACTATTGCCTTCCTTGTGAGTTTATTTTTGATGTTTTTAGCTGGTTGTTATTGATTGTAGATTCTCATTACAATGGCTTCATTTGCTTAAATTTTTTTCACTTAGACATCAAACTCCAAATATTATTGTTTTAATTTGATTTGCAGACATCAACAACCCATTTAAGGTAGATGAATCTGATCAGAGCACTGTGGTTCAAATAATGTTCCCTTCTGAGCCACCAGTAAGTTATTTTTGTCTTCCTTAATGGCTGGAAAATACAAGTTGGTTGTTTCATATTGAATCAAACTTACTACTTCTTCTTTCTGTTCAGGTTGAATGTGAATATGACTGGGTGAAAAGCGACATTGAGGTGCGGTGTTCGACTTTTCCAATACTACACCTTACTTGAATTACTTCTTATCTCAGTTTATTTTAGGAATTCACCGACAATCTGATCAAAGAGGAGACATTACTCCCGGGACAGAAGGATGAGTTCGAGGTAAGCAAGCAAAAGCTCGAATTGATTTGGTAAATTCATTCAAGGGTTTTCTCTTAAATCACCAACCCATATATTCAATATTCAGGAGTTTGTTAAAGGGCAAAGTGACAAAGCTAAGAAAGCTTATGAAGAGGTATTATATTCCATACATTCTGCAACAGAGCCGCACATGTATATATATATATTTAAAAATTTAATTCTACAATTGGCAGGCACAAGAAGCCCGAGAGAAAGAAAAGATAGGACTGAGCTTAGAAACCAAAAAAGCCTACGAAGAAATGAAGTTGTACAAGTTTTATCCATTGCCTTCACCAGACACACCCGACACTGCAGGAATCAAGAAGGTACAATACAAAATACAACTTCGGTTGTCAAGGAACTCTGAATATTAGCCAAAATCTGATATCTTTGTTGGTCTTTGTGCAGTCCCCGATCATAAACAGGTACTTCGGGAAGGCTCACGAAGTCCTATAATCATTTCTCCAAAACCTAGGAACCTTTTTGTTTCGGCAAAACATTATGAACAACTGAATACCAAAGAAACCACTTTGGGATGGTTTAGGCTCAAAGATACAACAACACACTAATAGAAAACAATGTCTTTTGGAGCCGGATTTTTCTGTTCTCTGTTTTCTCACTTTTTTTGATGCAACCAACCAAACAGTGTTGAGAGACTAAGCAAAGTTTATAATCTAAAGAGAAAGAGTAACAACAAAAGGGACAACAAATAGAGAGACCACCCCCTCCCCGCATTTAGAGACGAGAAGCAGAAGAAGAAGAAGAAGAAGAAGCAGCAGAATCTGTCAAGGTAGAAGTTCTTTTCTTCCTCTCTTCCTCATACTCAGCATCATCAGTTTCAAGCTGGAATCTACAGACAGGACAAGAGTTCCTTGTTGCTAACCATGGGACAATACAATCTCCGTGGTAAGAATGCCCACATGGTAGCTTCTTACTAGTTTCTCCCATCACCATTCCATCTTTACACACAGCACAAACCATGACCATCTCTCCCTCCGAAGAAGTAACCTTGAAAGTCTCGAGTGCTTCTATAGCCGATTTTGCAGCCGGTGGTGCGCCTCTCCTTCCACCACCGTCTCCTTCTGCTAAGTTCTGAAGCAAAGCGTCGTATCCAGCGGCGTCGTCGATGTAATCAGCCGGATTACCTGTATAACGATCTGATTCCATACGGAACTCAACGGAATTGTCTTCGATCCCCATTAATATCTCAGCCCAATCGAGAATTCTGTTTCGACCGGTTCTCGATCGCGTCGTCGTGAGAGGGAACCGATTTCTCCTCCTCAGATCATCCTCTTCCTCTCCCTCTTCGACTTGGTCGTTGACGGTTAAATTCTCGTCCTCATCCTCCTCTTCTTCATCTCCATAATCTTCATCTTCGTCTTCGTCATCGTCGATTTCGTTTCCGTTATTGAGCTCCAATCTGAAGAAATCATCTTCGTAAGATAAAACATCAAGGTGTCGTGGTGGCGAGCGCTGGGAAGGCGCGTGGGCTAGCAAGCGGAGCATCTGGACGAAATGCGAGCCAATACTGGAGTCTTCTACAGTCAGATCTGGGGAAAGTGGCTGCGGTGGCGCCGGCGATGTATACGCGGAAGGAATCGGTTGAATTGACTCGACGAAACCTTTGTTACATTCGCAGCACACGACCAAGTCATCTAAGGTTTCAACGAGTACGCGTTTGTTGCAGTGATAGCACCAGTGTGGAGCCATGGCATCCGGAGAAGGCGACGGAGCATCGGACATGGTGTTATTCCCGTCGGGTTATCGGGCTTTCGGGTCCGGATTCGGATCCGATAAGCCGATGAAGTGGATGGAGAAAACCAAAACAATAAAAAAGGTCTCTGTATTATCTAATTCTAAGAAAGACATTATAGTAGTATAAAAGGGATATCATACTCATTACCCACTTGACCCACCCACAACATTTTCCTTTTTATATTAATATCTATCACATCATAATACTTACAATTTAATCAAACTCTACATTTGCCGTCGAAAATATATATCAAACTGATCATATCCAATTGATACCAATTTCCAAATAAAAATCCTAGTTGCACTTCTATCCAAAATCTCTAGTATTTTAATATTCCAAAGAGGAAAGTTCTTCAAAGAAAAGACTTATTTATTACACAGCCAGCTTAACATAAACAAAAAACACAAATTTTATTTCTTTTGACAACAGTGACATTCAAATAGCTCAAATACATATAACTTTTTTTTGTAATAGCCAAGCCATACAATTGATACAACAGTACCCATAAAATAAAATTAAGATGAAATACCCAAAAAGAAAAGATATAAACTACAATACAAAGAGAGTGACTCTGTCTCAAACCTCAGGAATAGAGGCCGACTCACCAAGAAAATTATACATAGCCAGGTCTCTCCATTCACCAACCGTCGCAAATGGCAAAAGACCGGTGATGGCTGGAAGAGCAAGCATAAACACCACATATAAGACAGTGCGCCTTGCCCAATACGGAAATATAGTGCTCCAACGGCTCCGTTTGGTCCCTTCAGTCACGCTTATAGGTCCGTACATTAGACGATACAGAGCCAATGTGCAGACATTTGCAACAAACTGGAAGACGCAGAACACTTGCCAAAGAATTAGCCACAGTTTGCCATTACCACCCAGTGTGTCCACACAAACCTTAACTGGCAGACCGCAGACAATACCGAGGAAAATCAGGAGGAACGAAATCGGCATTGTCTGCGTTCTACCTGATGAGCGTTGCATCATGAAGTAAATGAAGACGCAAATCATTACGAATCCAAAACACATCTGGACCCAAACTCGAATCCGGCATATCATGGCGCTGAAATCTGAGTTTAAATTTGAAACTTGTTTAGGAACCCACCACGACGAACTTTTCTCCTCGGGTTTCTCGCATATTGATGTAGCATCTGCAATTCTCTTTTGTGAAAAATTGTAAGCGCCAATTAACATAGAAGCCAACATGCTGAAGACACTTACGACTAGACAATCCATGATTTTTGTCACCATCTCGGCTTTTCTTGTATCTTCTAATTTGGTTTTGAATTTATCCGCTTGGAATGCAGCTTGTTCAACACCTATCTCTAGCTTCCTTTTCCCCAGATTGTTTGAATCGTATCTTAATCCTAGCTCCGACTCTTTCAAACTTAGTTCTATCTTTTTAAGACCAAGCTCCACCTTCTTTAGGTCGTTTGCTTCTTGTACTTGCTCTCCGAAAAACCTTTCGGCTGTAGTCAAAGACATTGCTGAACTTCTACGAGGGGCACAGGAGAGTTGTCGAGTCTCTTCGTGCAGGACAAGCTCATTCATCAAAGAGGTTGCTGTTGCACTGCCTTGTATCTCTTCATATGCAGACATAGCAGATGAAGTTTCCTTTGCATATAGCTCGGTGTCCGAGTATCCGTCTATTGTAGAACGGTCTAAATTACAACTCCCAACATCGTTATTCTTTAACTGAGGCGGATTTGCAGATTCATTGATCAAGTTAAGAATCTTTAGAGTACTGTTAAATGATTTCTCAAAGTTGGTCGAAAAAGAACCAAGCTTATCACCAAAAACCTGTAGTCACATCTTTATGAATTAGAGAGGTCTATAAAATCAAATATTCGAAAGAAAATAAGAGAACTTTAGCTTACATTGGCAAATGATTCTGTGACAGCTGTAGCAGAGATCTGCAGAACATAATCAATGAAACTCGTATATCACAACCAGAACGAGGAAACTATGGCAAACGAGAGTTATAATAGAAAGCGAGAAGATAGAATTTGAAAATCCATAGTAAGTAATTACCCCAGCAAGATCATCAATATTAACATTCTGACCCGCGGCATTCTTTCTTTGGAGAACCTAGAGAACAAGAAAGCAGAGAAAACAGTAAAAACTACAGATCAATGCAAAGTCAATGACTTTAGTGGCTAACCAACAATATTAAGACGTGCTGAAATTTGGTGCGATCACAACCAAGGCTCAAGCTTTAAGACAAGTGAGAGACAAGACAGTAGATTCAAGTATTGTTACATTGAAGCTCGATTCTAAACCCCCAAGAAGAGCTTCAGATTTGAGGAGAAGATGCTATCTTCGATCCAGGGTGAATTCAATTCAAGTACTGTGAAGAAATACTTCGTCTCTGATTCAGATTTGAACAGAAGATCCTTTCATCAGTCCAGTTTTGAATCAACTAAACCTAAATTGAAAGACTTAGTATTTAATACTCCCTAAAGAGACAAACTTTTCACGCAAGGGGTCAACTACAGGAACAGAGCTGAAACAACCCGTAACAGAAAATGATAAATCAAAAGCCAATTTCGTATCAAAACCGCCATGTGATGCAATAAAGATAGAGAGAGAGAGAGAGATAAAGTTTGGAAATTGATCGAACCAGAATAGCAAAAGCCGCAAATGACATCCCGAGAGGAAGAGCCAAGGCTTCAGCTTGTCGTTCACCAACGCTTCGTCGAGACATGCCTAAACGCACCGTAGGGTTTCGTAATCTATGAGCCACTCTCGAAACCCTTCGAGTAGAATTGGAGTTAGAGGTGGAACAAGAGGAGGAAGAAGCTTCGTCGTCGTTCATATTAATCTCTTTCTTCTTTCCCTTAAGCTTTCTCTTTTCCGAATTCGATGGCTTCGTCTTCTTCTTAATCATCGTCTCATAATTGACTTCTTCGTCCGATTGATGATGGGATTTTGAATTCGCCGGATCGGTGATGGGATTTTGGGGTTCCGGCGAAGGAGAGAGGAGGAGGAGGGCTTCCATAGCCTATGAACATAACTTAGTTTTGGGGTCAATTTTGGAACATTGAGAAAAGTACTTAACTTGCAAGACTTTCGCCGCTTCGTGTCTAGTGGAAAAGTTTCGAATTTCCCAACTTTTTAAAAAATTTTTTTTGGGAAATCTGATTTGCGAATTTTAAAATTTTGTTTTAATGGTTAGCTTAATATAGACAAAGAAAAATAATTAACCAAGTATCAGAAATGATTTAGGCTGGTTTAAAGACTTTTAAGTACAATGAATTCTTGAAAGTTTATCTTCTTTATTATTCAATGTATGTATGTTAATGTCGACTAAATTGGTAATAATATCTTTTGCTCTGTTTTTAGCGATGCTTGATGTATCGATTTAGACACAGTAATGTACTTTTCTTGGATAATGAATAGGTGCTTGACTGTTCAATGTATGGGATCGGTTCGGTGGTTATATGTATAGAACACGAAAGTCAATTCATAATGGTAGACCGGATTACACACCAAGCCGAGTTTAATACCGAACCAATCAGTTTGGTATTAATGTAAAACTAAAAACACGGAAAAAAGAAAAGGAAAAAAACGCAGAATGCTTTTGTGGCTCTGATAAAGAACACGATGATGTGTCTTAAGACAACCAATCAGAACACAGGAACATCTTCTTCACTCATCTGATCTTATGCCACGTGTCCTTTTCATATCCACCCCTTTTATTATAATTTTTGTTTTCCAGTTCTCTCTCTCTGCTTGTTTCATTCTGAACCTCGAATCCTCTCAGTGCAAAGTGCCAACAAGTCTTCTTCTTCTTCTTCTTCCTCATCAAAATCTCTTCTTTTCTTCCAGGCAATGCTAAATTAGGGTTTTGATTTCTAGATCTCTTCCGAAACTTAACAACAATGGCGACTTCTTCTTCTTCTTCGTCGTCATCTCTGCTTCTACCGAACATCAATTTCAACTCAAGACAATATACAGCAATCACTCGTTCCGTTTCAATCCCCGGAATCTTCTTACCCAGAAACCGGTTAAGCTACAATCACAACAGTCTTCAGCTTCGTACGAGATTAATCAGAGCTTCTAAAGACGATACTGTCGCAGTTGAAGATCGTCGTGAGAATTCAGTGATCAACGGAGATTCTAACGGAAGCGCCCGTTTAAACGGTAACGGCTCAGCTATAAAACCCGTCAACGGTGATTATAACGGGAGTGCTCGTTTAAACGGTAACGGTAATGGTAGTTTGGTGAAGTATGTGAACGGAAGTGCAACGGTGGAAACGGAGGAAGTCTCGAAGAAGAGAAAAGAGGAAGTGAGGAAGAAGAGAGTTGAAGATATTGGTCAAGAGGATGCTTGGTTTAAGAATAACCAACAAAAACAAGTTGAGGTATACATAGTTTACAATTAAAGTTTCAATATTTTCAGTGTAAAAATTCATTTTTTTTCCTATAAATTTTGTTAATTTTTGTTTTTGTGTTTCAGGTTTCTGTAGCACCTGGTGGTCGATGGAACAGGTTCAAGACTTACTCAACTATACAAAGAACATTGGAGATTTGGGGATTTGTTGTACAGTTTATTTTCAGGACTTGGTTAAGCAATCAGAAGTTCTCATACAAAGGTTGATACTTTGTTTTTGTTTGCTTACGTTTAGGACCGTTCTTTTCATTTGTCTAAATTCTTGAAAAATCATGTGTGTATAGGAGGAATGACTGAGGAGAAGAAGGTTTTAAGAAGGAAGGTTTTGGCTAAGTGGTTGAAAGAAAGCATTTTGAGATTAGGTCCTACGTTTATTAAAATTGGGCAACAGTTTTCTACTAGAGTTGATATTCTTCCTCAAGAGTATGTTGATCAACTGTCAGAACTTCAGGTTTGACTTCTTCTTCTTCAATTTGAGTGGTACTTGTGACTTGTGAGGCTCCTTTTTTTGTAGCATTTTAAGTTTTATCTTATGCTTTGTAGGATCAAGTTCCTCCTTTCCCTTCTGCTACAGCTTTATCCATTGTTGAAGAGGAGCTTGGAGGTTCAGTTGAGGACATTTTCGACCGTTTTGATTATGAACCTATAGCTGCAGCTAGTCTTGGTAACGTCTTTGTGTTAAACTTCTTTTAAATATTGCAATAATTTGATGATAATAATGATAGTTTTTGACTTTTTGTTCTTAACCAATACAGGCCAAGTTCACCGTGCAAGACTTAAGGGTCAAGAAGTTGTCCTTAAAGTACAGAGACCCGGTCTGAAAGATCTCTTTGATATTGACCTTAAGAATTTGAGGGTTAGTGCGTCTCTAACAAAGTCAATATAGAGCTATTCCATGTTGCAAGCGTCCTTGTCTCATGATTTGCTTCTCCGCTCTTCTAAAGTTTTATTTTTTGATGTTCTGCTGAGTTCTTGGCTTTGTTATGCTTCTATTTAGGTGATTGCTGAGTATCTCCAAAAGGTGGACCCAAAATCAGATGGTGCTAAGAGAGATTGGGTTGCAATCTATGATGAATGTGCCAGTGTATTGTACCAGGTATGGTGATGTGGTTTAGTGAGTTTGTTTGTTCTTGTTGCTGATTGACCTTCGAGCAGAAGCTCAGTCATAACTTCCTTTCTTTACCCTAACTCGAGTGACCTCTAACTAGTAATAACAATGTGCTATACTTTTCAGGAAATTGATTACACAAAAGAAGCAGAGAATTCGGAGCTGTTTGCTAATAACTTCAAAGACTTAGAGTATGTAAAAGTTCCATCAATCTACTGGGAATATACTACACCTCAGGTAATTATTACCTATCACCACTGTTTCACCATATATGAAGCCTTGAGCTCGAATGCAATATTTAACATTCAGTTCTTTCCAGGTCCTGACGATGGAGTATGTCCCTGGGATTAAGATTAACAAGATACAAGCCTTAGATCAGTTAGGTGTTGATCGAAAAAGGTTTGTATTTTTGTACATCTTGTTCCCGGTTTTATATTTTTTATCTCTCTGAAAAGCCAAAATAGATTCGTTGTTGTTGATTTATGTCTTGGTATAATGCAGGCTAGGGAGATATGCAGTTGAATCTTACTTGGAGCAAATCTTATCTCATGGGTTCTTCCACGCCGACCCTGTAAGTCTCTATGGTGTTTTCTTAAGCTCAGTGTCAATAATCTTCAATTTGGTGTACTAATTCTAAAAGACTACATTCTAAATTGCTTATGTATCATTTCTGAAGCACCCTGGGAATATTGCGGTTGATGATGTCAATGGTGGGCGGCTGATATTTTACGACTTCGGAATGATGGGAAGGTAATACATTTATGCTAACAGGATTGTGTAATACTATGTGAAGAACTGCTTCATTTCTATATGGTGAAGAAACGTGATCTCCTTTATCATAATTGTTAAACTTATGGTTCTGCTCAACCGTTTTATATTGTTTCTTACAGTATTAGCCCAAATATTAGAGAAGGTTTATTGGAGGCATTCTATGGTGTCTATGAAAAAGACCCAGATAAGGTATAGTCTCTTGGTGTTCTCACTATCAATCTTCTACCTCCATGCTCCTTTCTACGAGCTGATCTCATAGGTAAATATATGTCTATTAATAAACAATCTTGTGGCAGGTCCTTGAAGCTATGGTTCAAATGGGTGTCCTTGTACCAACTGGAGATTTGACGGCAGTTAGAAGAACAGCACTATTTTTCCTCAACAGGTGATTTACTGGATCCTTTTATGATCGAGCTTCCTATTAACCCCTTGTTTTTTTTTCTTTTTGTAACGTAAGTATGAGAGTGTGTGCATAATAGATGCCGGTAGTATCCCTATGATAATCAGCTGACTGTGTTACAGTTTCGAAGAGAGGCTTGCTGCACAAAGAAAGGAGAAAGAAGAATTAGCAGCAGCAGAAGAGCTTGGGTTCAAGAAGCCACTAAGCAAGGAAGAAAAGCAAGAGAAAAAGAAGCAACGGTTAGCTGCAATCGGAGAAGATTTATTAGCCATTGCAGCTGATCAACCTTTCCGGTTCCCAGCCACATTCACATTTGTTGTTAGAGCCTTTTCAGGTTTGAATTTTTCTTGACCATTCGTTTCATGTTTTTTTTGTGTGCTAAAACTCAAAAGTATACTAATGTTTACTTTCTCTCTGCAGTATTGGATGGCATTGGCAAAGGTCTTGACCCCCGATTTGATATAACGGAGATCGCAAAACCGTGAGTCTGTGCACATTATATTTTATCTTCTTGTATATCAGAAGAGTACTTAAATACATTTATTTTCACCAGCTATGCTTTAGAGTTGCTACGGTTTCGGGAAGCTGGTGTAGAAGTTGTAGTGAAGGTAATAGCAAGACTTATCTTTACTATATATATGATCTTATCGCATAGCTATATATTTATATGCAATCAAATTAACCATTGTAGGATCTGAGAAAGAGATGGGACAGGCAATCACAAGCATTCTACAATCTATTTAGACAAGCTGATAGAGTTGAAAAGCTAGCCGTAGTCATTGAACGACTTGTAAGTTACAAACAGATCCGCCCACTACAAACTCTCAACCTACATGAATTTCTTTTCTTGATCTAACGAGTTTTCACCTTTATGCTTCCATAGGAGCAAGGTGATTTGAAGCTTAGGGTCCGAGCGCTAGAGTCTGAGAGGGCATTCCAACGTGTTGCAGCTGTTCAGAAAACAGTAGGAAGTGTAAGTAGAGCTTCCCTTCTCTGTATTGTTTTACATCTTGTACATGAATATATCTAAAAATCTGTTCAAAACATATTTGAGAATGTGAATCATATGTGAAGCTTCTGTAAAACAAGAATCTTTCGTCGAAATTTTGAAAGCATGTCATATATTCTGTTTTTATGTGCTAAAGTTGGTTTGTTTTCCTCTTTTCTCTAAACCAATGTGTTTCCCTACAGGCTGTTGCTGCAGGAAGTTTAGTCAATCTCGCAACAATTTTGTATCTGAATTCCTTAAAAGTAAGTTTTCAATACTTCATCAAATCCAATCCCTCTTGTTCTCTTTTTTTTTTAACCTATACCTCATTGTGTATTTGTCTGCTCAAATTCACCAATGTTCTTGTTTCTTTCTGTTGTCAGACACCTGCTACTCTAGCATATACGGTATGTGCTTTCTTCAGTCTCCAAGTTCTAATCGGAGTCATAAAGGTTAAGAAGTTCGACCAACGCGAAAAACTGATCACTGGAACAGCTTAAAAACTTTCTTGGTATGCTACGATTTCTCATGACTATGTTACATTATCAGACTCAAATGCTCAACCTATTTCTTGGCTTAATTTGTACAGAAATGTAGTAAAGCTTCTTCAGTCTCCATAAACCCTTTTGTTGCACAGAAGCAAAAAGACTCTCTCATAAGCTTGTCACAGGAGTTGTAACAATTTCTCTGGTCTGCAAATAAAAATCTTATAGAAGCGTAAGAGGCAAGAGATGGTCAACTAGTCAAACGACCACTCTCTTATCTCTTTCTTCTGGACGTTTTTGATTATAATTTTTGGAGAGGAGGAGACTCTGGTATTTATCAACAGAGTGGTTTACTTGAGCCACATGTATTATGTATAGAGAAATTTAGAAATTAGGAACTTCTTTCGCAAAAATATACTTACTACCTCGTTTACTCAATGTACTCATTCATATCTCTCTGTTTCAGTAATATTTTTATAAATATAAGCTTGAATATAACAGTAGTGGTAAAACCCTAGATTTTCGTTTCCACTATGCAATTTCTAGCTTCTCTCGTTTCCAGTTCCAGAGGATTTCATCGGAGATGGAATCGAGCGCTCTCTTTGCATCAGTTTTCATCAAATCCGGAGTTCGTCGAATTTCTCAGGGACAATGGGTTCCAGAAACCGCAAGCAATTGCCCTCGCAATGCGTTACCCTTATATCAAATCCCTAGAGCAGCCTCGATCAGTGATTCGACTGCTTAAAAGTTACAATTTTTCCGATACCCAGATCCAGAAATCAATCCGGGTCCATCCTCAAATGATGTTCTACAAGGTCGAGAAGAATCTAGAACCCAAACTTCGGTTCTTTGAAGAGATTGGATTCTCTGGCTCTGATCTTTGTAAGTTCCTTTCCCAAAACTCTTCCGTCGTCGGTGTGAGTCTAGTGAGAAAATTGATTCCTACCGTTGAGATTCTGAAATCGATTGTGGCTCCAAAAGATGAGGACCTTACTGTGATTCTTAGTAGATGTAGTTGGCTGCTCAATAGAGACCCAAACTTGTTCCTCTTACCAAACATTTCTTACCTCAAAACCTGTGGAATCGTTGGGTCTCAGCTTGCTGCTTTACTTAGAAGACAGCCAAGGATCTTCAATCTCCCTGAGGAAAAACTCAGAGGATATGTCTCTCGTGCTCTGGAACTTGGTTTTAGTCTGAACTCAGGGATGCTTGTGCACGCTGTTTTCTCGTTGAGTTCTTTAAGCAAGAAAACATTTGATCGGAAGTTGAAGTTGTTTGTGGCTAATGGGTTCTCTGAAGACGAGATAGCAGATATTATACGAAGATCTCCAGGTTTGATGCGATGCGCATACGATAAGCTTACACAGGGGATGGAGTTTTACATAAAGAGAATGGGGATTGAGAGAGAAGCATTGGTGAAACGTCCTTGCGTGTTGTCGTATAATCTTGAGAAGAGAGTGATTCCTAGGCTTAAAGTCTTGCACATCTTGAGGGAAAAAGGGTTGTTGTTGAATGAGGAGAAGAAGAAGAAGAAGAACACGTTTGACATTGTGGAGATGACTGAGGAAGCTTTTCTAGACAAGTATGTGGTAAGATTTGGAGATGAGATTTCTGAGAAATTATTGGCAGCTTATAAGGGTCATCTCGTGGATGATGATGATGGTTCTTCCTCATCCCATGATAAATTGTAGTTTTGTTTCTGATGATTTGATTAGTCTAAAGTCAGGTTCGATAGTAATTCATGTAATCAAGATCAACTTATGGGGTTTTATATTCAGAAGTTTGATCTTGTTGAAATGTTAAAGAAATTTGTGGGAGATTGACCATGTTTATTAAAAGGGCTCTTAACCTAGGAGCCCATCTGTGTTCAATGCTCTGATCTTGTTCACTGTAAAACTTTGACTAAACAAAATGTTTTATTTGGAAAGAAGTTAAGAACCGATGGGTTTTATTGGTTTGATTTTAGTTGACTGCAAGAACCGGTTTAAACCAAAGATATATTCGGGATAATAAAGCTTAGGTTGTTGTTTTTTTTTTTTTTTTTTCCCGTGAAGCCGACAGCGTAAGGGCTAAACAGCCTAAAACCTTAAAACAGCCGGAGACAAGACCAAGAGCGAAGCTAAATTGTCTGAAGATTCCGTCGATAATTTTGAGTCTGAAGGAGAAGGAAGGGATAATGGCGGTTGCGGCTTTTGGGCAGCTGAATCTTGAGGAGCCTCCTCCGATTTGGGGATCTCGTAGTGTCGATTGCTTCGAGAAGCTAGAACAGATTGGTGAAGGAACTTACGGGTATTCTTCTCCATTCCTGTCTCTTTTTTTTATGGGTTTTGTTCCTTTTATTCGAATTGATTTGGGTTCGTGGAGTATTTGTGCTCAAGATCTAATTTTTCTCTACTTTGGGTGAATTCTGCTAGAGCCACTTGAATTAGGCCTTTGAAGCGATTTGGTTTGTATAATTCAATAAAGGTGTCGGTACCTGTATTTTTAATTTGAAGAACTTTAATCTTGCCTCTTATCACTATAAGCTTGATTTTGTTGATTGAGTGAACTGGGAATCCTCGTTCTTAAGATTGTATGATTATTGTATGCTTGAAATAGTTGTTCAGTGGGTTTGTTTCGTAGCATCTGAAACAAGCTTTGCCTATATGTTTTCCTTATTTTTTTCTCCTGATTCCTAGCTGAACTTTTTCCGGAATGCTGTATTTGGGGTTTAGATTTATATATTTGGCTTTGGTCTTGCAGTCAAGTTTACATGGCTAAAGAAATCAAAACTGGCGAAATCGTGGCTCTGAAAAAGATCCGTATGGACAATGAAAGAGAAGGGGTAAGCTACATGTGACTACTAACTTAGACAAGTTGCAAACTTTGTGAGCCCACGATGACTTACATTTCCCTTATCACTATTTGCTATGAAGTTTCCGATAACAGCTATCCGGGAGATTAAAATTCTGAAGAAGCTACATCATGAAAATGTCATCCATTTGAAAGAGATTGTCACTTCTCCAGGTAATAAGAAACCCTTATAATATCTTGTTATTGCTTTAAAAATTCCGTTAAATGAGGCGTTAAGATTGATATGTAAAATTTTGTGATTCTTTTTGTCTTTAAAAGGTCGGGATAGGGATGATCAAGGAAAGCCAGGTTAGTAAAACCTTTTTAGAGTTCTAAATTTCATCTGTAGAACTTAGATACGGCTATGATAGATCTTTTAAAACTTTGTACACTCGCCTAAAGCTTGTTGCTTTGCTTCAATTTTAGATAATAACAAATACAAGGGTGGAATCTACATGGTCTTTGAGTACATGGATCATGACTTGACTGGACTTGCTGATCGTCCTGGACTGAGATTTACAGTCCCTCAGATTAAGGTATTGCATGGCTAGATACCTTGTTGTAGTAGCCTTTGCAAATACCTTATTGTTCCGTCTTTGTCTGACATTTGAACATATGTAAAAAGTGTTACATGAAGCAACTGCTCACTGGGCTTCACTATTGTCATGTGAATCAAGTGCTTCACCGTGATATAAAAGGTGAGAATTCCATAATACATTATTGATTGTTTGGTTCTCTTGTCTTTATTAGCTAGTTAACCTGTAATATCTCGGTGCAGGTTCAAATCTACTTATTGACAATGAGGGAAATTTAAAGCTTGCGGATTTTGGGCTTGCTCGGTCATTTTCTCATGATCATACTGGAAACCTTACAAACCGTGTCATCACATTGTGGTATAGGTATGTATGCCTACAAACTTTAAAAATTTTATACATAAAAGAGACAAAGAATAAGTATTGCTTAGACGTGCATTTTATTCTCTACTTAATGCATTTTTATTGATGTAGGCCACCTGAATTGCTACTTGGTGCAACTAAATATGGACCAGCGATTGACATGTGGTCAGTTGGATGCATATTTGCTGAACTTTTGAATGGAAAACCCATCTTGCCTGGGAAAACTGAGGTTAGTATTTCATCTTTTGATCATCAGCAACGCGTGTTATTACAATGTTCTTTGATGATGTTTCCACTTAGCCTTACTCGAATGTTTGTTTTTCCAGAATGAACAATTGAATAAGATTTATGAACTTTGTGGATCACCTGATGAAAACAACTGGCCTGGAGTTTCCAAGATGCCTTGGTATAACCAAATGAAATCATCTCGGCCTTTAAAGAGACGCGTTAGGGAGATCTATAGACAGTAAGTATAAGCCAATATGTAGTTGCGATACTTTTAGACAAAAGTTACTTTGCCCCAGGAGAGATCTCATTTGGTCCTTTCCTCTTCTGTTATAGCTTTGATCGACATGCCCTTGAATTACTTGAGAAAATGTTGGTGCTTGACCCATCCCAGGTACTAAAGAATTTTTAATACAGATAACTGTTGTCTGGAATATTAGTAAATTTCCGAAATCAAGAGCCTTGGTGTAGACATTCAAGTCCTTTCCTGTTTGTTTGTACAGAGAATATCCGCAAAGGATGCTCTTGATGCTGAGTACTTTTGGACCGATCCGCTGCCGTGTGATCCAAAGAGGTAATCAAATTTCCTCTTAAGTTTCTTGTTATGAAAACCCGTTTAGTTCATAATACATCAGCAAGTGACGATCAAGAAACAAATAGTGAGTGATTCAGCTCAAACTGAAACTGTCTTATGTCAACAGTCTACCAACATATGAATCATCACACGAGTTCCAGACAAAGAAAAAGCGGCAACAGATGCGCCATAATGAGGAAGCAGCCAAGAAACAGAAACTGCAGCATCCACAGCAGCAACATTCACGATTACCTCCACAGCAACACGGTGTTGGTCAGTCTCATGCCGCTCCACATTGGCCTGCCGGACCAAACCACCCTATGAACAACAATGCACCACCACCCCAAATGCCTGCTGGTGGACCTGGCAGCCATTACTATGGAAAGCCCCGTGGTGGTGCACCTGGTCCAAACCGGTACCCTCCTAGTGGTAACCAGACTGGTGGTTATAATAATCAGAGCCGTGGAGGTTACAGCAGCGGATCATATCCTCCACAAGGTCGAGGTGCACCATATGGCGCCGGTCCTAGAGGACCTAGCGGTGGCTATGGTGTTGGACCGCCTAACAACTACTCGCAAGGTGGTGGTCAGTATGGTGGATCTGGTGGCTCTGGAAGAGGTCAGAACCCTATGGGTGGTGGTAGAAACCAACAATATGGATGGCAACAGTGAAGATTACTCAAAGAGTCTCATATGATGTGGTCTTGGATTTGATGTCCTAAAGGCAGTTGCGATTCTGATTATGAAGACCGATCGTCGAGAAACAGTTTGTTTTCCCGTCTTTTTGGCTTTCTTTCAAATATTCTGTGATTGTTGTATGTTTAGATCATTTTGCACGAGCAAGCTTTATGTATAAGAACACAGCAAAACCAAATTGAAATTTCCAAATCTTATTATATCTTTTCTTGCAAAAAAAAAACGTTTCACAACCTATCTGTTTTTGTAAAAGGGGAAAATAAACTTCCAATGATCAGTGTAAAACCCAAAAAAACGAAAAAAACTTTCTTCTGAAGCAACTTCTGCAACAAACACAATTATTGTGTCCTTCCTCATTGCTTATTGTCTTATGCTGATTCTACTTTCAGGACAACTTTCATGAACTCGTAAACAAAGTAACTGATCGCCGCAGAAGGCAAAACCTGCAAGAATGAGTAAAAAAACAAAGCTGTCAGACAGGTTTAAGAGATTGATTTATGAATAGAATTAAGGAATCATACCTGCAATAAGCTGGGAATCAAGCCAGCATATAGAGCAGGAACACCACCTTGTTCAATGATCTTAACACAAGTAGCCACTGTGCTTAACTTTTTTGCATGTGATTGCATTTGTAAACGCCTTCTCACAACTTCAAACGGATAAGTTGCTGCTTCTGAGCAAGCCCCTGCGATTGCTCCATATAACAAAGTTCTCATGGGACCAAGCTCGAGTTGATCAAACGCGTTCAGTTCTTCACCTTCTTGTTTCATGTGTTCAAGCCGTTTCTTTCCTTCCGGTGTATGAAGATAAGCTGATTTTAAAATATCATAGACACCGTAGAACACAGCTCCCGATGGAGCCATACTAACAAGTGAAGGTACAAGACCTTTATATAGGGAAAAGAATCCTTCGGTTTGAATCATGTGACGGAATGCACCAACTACGCCACCCAATGCCTCTCCACCAGGCGCCACCATAACCGTTCTTATCTGCAATTCGATACCAAAGAAATGCTACAGAAGGTCAAAGAGAATGGTAAAAGAAGCTCAAGGGAGTTTTTCTTCTGATTTCACTTACGGTATCAAGTGGTAGACAAAGCAAGCTAGCTGTTACTCCAGCAGCCGCACCAGCGACAAACCTTTCAAAATTTGTAGTTTCTTCGTTCCCGGACAATTTCAGAAGCTGGCCTCTATATGTATCATATGCGTAGAAATTGATAGACTTAAAAGGAGCAGTTCGGAGGATATTAACTAAGTTCCCTTTCCAAAATCCTCTGATCCCTTCAGTTGTTGCAATCCTCTGAATGAGTTGAAGAAGGTTCCCTTGCTCTCCCCGAACGATGTATTCTAGCTTCATCCGCTCAAGAGGTGCAATGCAAGTTCTGCTCAAACCAAAACCCTAAAACCCAATGAGCCACCAAACTACAACAAACCAAATCAATACTTAAAAAGCATTCTCACTAAGCAACCTCAACACTTAAAGAAGAAGGAGAGACCTTGAAACCATGGCTGCAAAAGCTCCAGCCCACAAATGCTTGGTCGTGTTGAGAGCTCCTGTCCCATTTTCCTTAACCTCAAGCTTCTCCTTCGCCTTTTGACCACCACCGATCAACACCGACTCTTTCTCCGATTTATACCCGTTTCGGCCATTATTATACCCTTCACCTTCTTCTTCCTCACTATTACTCTCCTTTATCGACAAACTGACAGAACAAAACAGAGGTCCCCTGGTTCCGTTTCGTCTCCTAAACTTCAAAAAACTCGACTTTCGGATAAATCGACACGAGCTGACGGAACAATCCTTAGAGGAAACAAAGGAGACAGACGAGGAAGTAACAGATTCGTCGAGGAACAACCCGCCAAGGATTTGACTATTGTGATCAAGTGAATCTGATCTGACTGCGTCAGCTATCCATCGATCAAGGCCACGCATTTTACTGGTTTTCGAATGGCAAATTCGACGAATTGAGCAAATCAGAAACTTTCAGCAAGACCCCCAAAGAACCAAATCACTAGTTGGTGAGATCTAAAGGACGAAGCGAGATAGTAAATATGATTCTAGGGAGCTGCGAAGAGAGGCTAATCAAATTTGATAGTTTAATACAAAAGAATACAAAACACTAGTAATCTCAAAGCTTTAAGCTTTTCATCTCTCTCTTTCTCTAAACAGAGAATATACTTTTAGGTGAAAGTGTGACTTGGTGCCTCTTTCTTCGCTTTTTCTGCTGACGATGCTATATTGGTTGACATGTCATCATCATCATACGATTTTGGTTACATACAATGCATAAATATCTATTTCTGTCAAGTTAATCAAAATTTTGGTAAGAAATTGTTTAGAAGATCCCATAAACAAGATAAAGAGATTGAGAAAGTTTAACTCATCTATCTCATTAGATAAAACATTCAATCTCTTCCTACTCGTTGTACTAAACAGTAAACAGAAGAGTGGTAAGTTTTTTTTTTTTTAACTTTGCTTTTGATTCTATGTGTTTGAGATTTGCAGATGGAGAAGAGTCATGGCTAGTAGTCAGCAGGAGCCTTGGAAAGTGGACAAAGACATTAAGTAAAGGCCTTTGCTCTCCAACAAGTTAGCCGCAGCATCAAAGTCATTTGTTAGCAGATCTTCCATTACTTCCTCCAGTGATTTTGTCATCGTCTGCTCGTGATGAATGTAGTGGCCGTATCCCTATCACAAACAACAAAATTCTCTCTTAGAATACAAACACATATTGTATCTTTTATGTTTGCTTCTTCAAATGCGTAATTGTGTTACCTCAATGAATGTCATAGGATGACATTCTGGTTCTCCTCCCAGCCTGCTTCGACTTAATTCCTATATCCATAAGAACCAAAAAATGTCACATCACAAAGTTCCTCAGGTTTTTGGATATAGCCATATAGGGTTCTTGGTTTGCCTTTAGCTTTCTCTATCACATTATACGCTTGAAGTTTTGATGCTAAACAAGTAAACTGAAAGCTTTAGATTGGTTTGTTCAATAGATTTTGTTTTGAGTTGGATTTTCATTCACAGTTCTTAGTTCGCAGTTGGCTTACATCCTTCTATACCTTCATCTAGTTGCTCAATATAAAAAAGTTGATACAGAAGAAAACATAAGAGAAGCAAGACAATACCTTCATCTGTAGCTGCAGAAGCTTAACGTGAGAAATAATGGCATTCAGTGTCAATTCAGGATTATCCCCCTACAAGATCACAAACATCAATAATTAAGGTTACATTCTCAAGAGTTATATGTGACAAGCTCTGTTGGAGGAAATATATAATTCTAAAAATGTTACGTCAACTTTATGTGGGAGTAATTCCCCTAATGTCTTGATGTTACTGTCAATTCGCTGCTTGCGCTCCTAATAAAAAGCAAAATCAATGGTTTATATAACATGAAACAACGAATGGAATCACAAATCATGATCATCATATGTGGAACTTACACGCTCACTGGTATAAGATTTGTCATTGTTTCTTTTGGATTGCTTCCAGGGTACATCTCTGCCTTTGCCAAAGAGATGTGAGAAGTCTCGGTTGTTGTTGCTCCGTTTTTTCCAACTTCTCAGCTTCTGAAGCAGTAAACGGAAGTTAGCTCCTCATCAAAATAGAGACTTTTCAGATCAGACATTACTTTAATAATGTGATGAAACTTGACCTCAGAGTAGTCTGGGGACCATGGCTGCACAGACTTTCGAGAGGAACGTCTACCCACAGGAACCTTACTGCTACTTCCCTGACATAAAGATGCAAGAAGATTTTACAAATTTCAGGTGTGCTAAAGGATGTAAAATTAAGAAAAAGACAAGTAGAGATGTGTTGAGAAGCTTACAGAGAGATGATTGTTAGTCTGGCTTTGTACACGAATAGAAGGTTTCACCAAAGAAGAAGCACCAATGTTGTCAAAAGAGTACATGGTTCGGATTCCTCCTCCTACACCAGTGGCTGCGCCGCGATTTGGCAGAACCACTTTCTCCACGACGAAATCCGGAGGAGGTTTCACATCAGGTGTTGATTCTTCGTTGAGCAATGCAAGGTAACTATGTGGAAGCTTAGATGGTTGAAGCCAATGAGACAGAGACAAACTCCCATCGCCAGTTTGCATATCACGTTCCACTAATGCATTTGAAACAACCCATTTTTACCAGCAGGCCATGATAATTGAAAGACCATGGTACTAATCTAGGCAGAACAAGCTTGGAATGTACAAAATCACAGAAGCTAAAAAAAACAAAGCACACCTTTCGAGTTAGGCGTATTTTCGAAAATCTTGTTCTTGTTCTTGTTCAGGGGTTGAGTAGAGTTAGGGGAAGACAAAGGAAACATATCAGAAATAACAACAGAAGCAGCTGCATCAGCATCATGTTTGTGCTCAATTGCAACACTTCTTAAAATCTTTGGATCAATCTGTAATCAAAAAGAATGTGACATTCTATATTATAATAAGATAATAACAAAAATTGGTTTTAAAAAACAACCAAAACGAAAAGGCAGAATCACAATGTATAGAGCACGTGAGAGATAGATTACATAGCTTGATCAAATCATTGCATCGTGTATAACAACATAACATTAATTGAAATATTAAATACGAATAATAAATACAGAGATGCTTCCTCGATCGTCGCTGTTGGATCTAATATAAATAATAACAACATTACTGAGAGGATTCCTAAAAACAAAAAACAAAACAAGTGTCGTAGATAAGAGCTTACTTGTGGGAATAGTTCCGTGAGGGATTGATAAACCGATCTGAAACCCATGGAAGCTTGAAATCTGCAACAAGGCAAGCAAAAAAATCACGAATCCCACTTGTCGCTAAAACCCTAAAACCCAGTTTTTCAAATAAACAGACACAGAAGAACAAAGGTCGAGAAACGTTGTAATCCATAAAAACAACTAAAATGTGTGTTTTCGATTCGGAAAATTCAAACAAATTAAGCTGAATGAGTCTGAATCAGTATATCACTAACATTGATTGTTTGAGCCGCAGAGCAAAAAAATTCTCAGTTTTGGGTTTTTGCTGAGAGCTACTCCAAAAGTGTGTGTCGCCTTTGTTGTGCCTTCCTTCTCTTTATTTATTCTTTTTTCTTTTTTGTTTTGGCTTTTTGGTGAGTCACCATGAAAAATTGGTTGACACGTCATCTCAATGTAGCAAATATTACAGAGGTTTATTTTCTCCTCAGAAACAAGTTAAAGATGATCAATATTTATATAATAAAGTTAGAAACCAATGTTTACAGAGAGATTTAGTCTAATCACACCAACTAATTGGTCTTCATTGTAACAAGTATTTATCCAAAAAACTTAAGTTGCTGAGTCTGTTGTATGTATAAGTGTCATTAACAGCAACTGCTCTCTACTTGATCATGCTCTGCCCGAGATGATTTGGTTGATGCCTTAAGATTCACATCCACCAAATCCTCTTGTTTTGTCCCAGATACTGCCTCGTTTCCTTGTAACGCCGATGTAATCTTACAGAACAAAGGCTACACTCAAACAACAAGAACCTAGTTAAGTTTGTTTTGCTCTTAAGAGAATATTTATTATATCCCATGTACATGTGTGTAGTGTTGTACCTTAATGTTGAATCCAGCTTTGGCACTAGTCTCCATGAACAAAGCTCCAAACTCACTAGCTTTATTATCCCCTTCCTCTATTGAAACTTGCCTGTTTCCGTTGGTTGAATCAAATCACATTCGAACAATTCATGCATGGTCTTTTATTTTGATTATTAAAATGGGTTTTTGTTTTGGTTTACCTTTTGTGAATAAGATCGGTCTTGTTACCAACAAGAACAACAATGACATGGCTACCTCTTTCTGCACGAACTTCTTGGATCCACTTGGAGGTGTTTAAAAACGTTTGCTTATCTGCAAATTTGAGAAGTGGAGCAAGTATATTGACTACTGTCTACTGAAGAAGAAGCAAGACAAAGAAACATGGCTGGTTGTTTAGAAAAAATGGTGAATAGAGTTAGATAAGTTTTAACCAGCAACATCATAGACAATAACAGCAACAGAAGAATCTCTGATGTAACTTGGTACAATACTTTGAAATCTCTCTTGTCCAGCAGTATCCCTGCGCATCAGAAAAAACAACACAAGACGTCTGAGACATTGTTTAGCTTTAGAAAAGGAGCTGAGTTGTGTTATGGGAGCCAACAAAGAGACAGTGTTTTACCACAATTGCAGACGAAAAGTCCTGTCTTCATACCTCATAGTTTTGGACAAAAAGTCTACTCCAATTGTCGCCTGCGATTATTTAAAAAAACCCTAGAATTTGAACAACTAGTAGTTGATTCTGAATCGAAAGACATATATAACATGATCAGATTCGAAGAATCTCTGAGTCTGAAATCTTCATAAACACTTATCTATAAGGCACAATGGGTCTCTAGACGATGATCGTAAACAGGACAAAAGGACAAAACTCATCTTCTGTGTTGGGAATCGAAGAGCAAAAAACATGGAGACGTAGAAAATGGGGCGAACCTGATAATTGGTGTCGAAGTTACCGTACATGAAACAAGTGATGATGCTGGTTTTGCCGACGGCTTGATCCCCCAAGAACACTAGCTTGTAATTCCCTAAATTTTCCATCTAATTTCCTCCTCCTCCCCTCTCCTCTCTCTTGGCTATCGATCGCCAATTATGAAATCGCGTTTTATATTCCTACCGCCAATTATATTACTATTCGAAATTTTTTTTTTTTTTTTTTTTTGGCCTACACTTTTGGTATTGTATTGTGACTCATGGATGTGTTATTTTCCCATCATTGTGTTTATCACAGCAAGACAAGTGTTGTTATTATGGGTCTATATGGGTTATATAACTCAGATCTAGCCCATTAAAGTATCGGCCTTTACATGATCACAGCTGGACTCATTCCATGTACTCTATTAACATTTTTCCAATGTAAATACTGTACAAAGCTTTTTCGCATGATCCAAGGATCACACTATCATCAAGTTAATAGTTCTGGCATTGAGATATCCCATGGTTGAACTTAGCAGCTAATCTCTGAATGCAAAAAGCTTTTTAAACGTTCTTCTTCTTCTTGTCAAGGTATGGATATTTCTGGCATAGTGAGATACTACTATACTAGTACTCATCACAACCACCACCTGGCAATACGATCGATGATGGTTTTCCTTCAAACGCAAACTAAATAAAAAGAATTCTTAATTTGCTGAGTCTGTTGTAAGTATAGTATTATTAACAAGAATTGCTCTCTAGTTGATGCTCTGCCCGATCTGAGATGATTTGGTTGATGGCTAAAGATTCACATCCACCAAATCCTCTTGTTTAGTCGAAGAAACTGCCGATGTAATCTTACAGAACAAAGACTACAATCAACAACAAGAACCAAGTTAAGTTTTTTTTTTTTCCACTTGAGAGGATAATTATTATATCACATCGATCTTGTGTGTAATGCGTACCTTAAGGTTGAATCCATCTTTGGCACTAGTCTCCATGAACAAAGCTCCAAACTCACGAGCTTTATTATCACCTTCCTCTATTGAAACTTGCCTGTTTCGTTGGTTGAATCAATCCATGGTCTTTTGCTTTGATTATTAAAATGGGGTTTTGTTTTGTTTTACCTTTTGTGAACAAGATCGGTCTTGTTACCAACAAGAACAACAATGATATGGCTATCTTTTTCTGCACGAACTTCTTGGATCCACTTGGAGGTGTTTAAAAATGTTTGCTTATCTGCAAATTGGCGAATTGCAAGTAATATTAAGTACTCAAGAAGAAGAAGCAAAAAAAAAGACTTTGTTTAGAAAAAAGTTCTAATAGGAGTTCTTAACCGGCTACATCATAGACAATAACAGCAACAGAAGAAACTCTTATATAGGATGATCTATAGCTTTGAAATTTATCTTGTGGAGCAGTATCCCTGCAAAAATAATGTTGAGAAAAAGAGAAGAAGTCATGTAGCTTAAAATGAGTGGGATGCTACTGAGATACGTTAACCAAGGGACAAATATTTACCACATGTACAGACGAAAATTCCTGTCTTGATACCTCATTCTTTTGGACATAAAGTCTACTCCAATTGTAGCCTGCGATTATTTTTGACAAGAAATTAAAACAACCCCTAGAGATTGATTCCGAATCGAAAGAAAAGCGTATATACAGGACAGGACATCTAATACGATCAGACTTGTAAGAATCTCTCAGTATGCAATCATCAGAAACACGTATCTAAGGCACACGATCATCGTAAAACAAGACAAAATAACAAAACTCATCTGTCTTGGCATCCAAGTGCAAAAACATCGAGATGTAGATAGGGCCAACCTCATAGTTGCTGTATAACTTATCGTACTTGAAACCAGTGATGATGCTGGTTTTGCCGACGCCTTGATCCCCCAACAATACTAGCTTGTATTTTTTAGTCTCCTCGTAAAAATTCACTAAATTTGCCATCCTCTCACTAGCTTGTAATGTATTTTTGATGGTTTTGTTGTTTTCCCATCGTTGTGTTACACAACAAACAAGATCACAAGTGTCGTTGGCTAAAACATTTTTAACTTTACTTGTAGTATGGGTCTATAATATATGGGTTATATAATTCAGAATTAGCCCGTTAAGTATCGGCCTTACATGATCACAGCTGGGCTCATTCCATGTATTAACATTTTCCAATGTAAATTACTACAAAGCATTTCGCATGGTCCAACAATCACACTATCATCTACTTAATAATATTACTAATGGCATTAAGATATCCCCATTGTTGAATTTATCAGCTAATCTCTGCATGGAAAAGGCTTCTTAAACCTTCTTCTTCTTCTTGTCAAGGTATGGATATTTCTGGTATAATGAGATACTACTCATCACAAGAGGAAGAGCCACCAGGCAATACGACGATGGCGGTTTTCCTTCAAACGCAAACTGAAGTAGCGCTGTCACAAGTAATGCCGACACAATCACAAATCCCTGCTAATCATTAACACAGTAAAGACATTATATATTTCAGCTTTTTTTATTGTGTTCCAAAATAATTGGGAGGGTTTTTTTTGTGTGTTTTACCTTTCTTACACCACCTGCATGTGATGTAACTAGGCCAACAAGAATTCCACCAAGAGCATTGCTTATTACTGGGACCTGTGAGAACAGTCATATTGCTTACAAACAATCAGAATTAACCGTTTTTCTATCAACAGAACCGTCATAGGAAAAAAAGATATCAGTAGTTACCAGTGTTAAAGCAGTCCAACCATGAAAGAAGCCATATTTTTTAATTGCTTCACCGTCTGGAGATTTAAGGGTACTTGCTAACAAGCAGAGGCTTCCAACAATTGACATTTCTACCGTCATTAAGTATGATGAATGCTTCTTGACCTGTAACAATAAGACAGTAAGCTTATGTATAAAATTGAACTAGAGACTTTTCTATTGGAATGTAGCGTTTAACTCTGAATTACCTGAGAAGCCCATTGACATAGAGATGAGGCTAAACCCGAGAGCACTGAGGCTGCCAAGACGGGGATAATCCCATAAAAGAGCACTTGATCTGAATTACTGGCACTTGAACCTTTGTTAGAGCCTTCACCAACACTTAGAAGGACTGCTGCCATGATCAATAAACACAAAGCTCCTATTTGTTGAATTGATTGCTTCTGCCTACAAGATGTCACTCGAGATAATGAGTTAAACACTTTAGATTTTTCAAACATAAACAGCAATATGTCTGAATATCATCGAGCTACTCACATAACAAATCTCTAACATGAATTGTGCTATAGGCACTAGCTTAATACAGAGCTCCACACTCAATCACAAAAGCAAGACTATAAGAAGAGAGAAAAGAAGGTTACCTTAGTATTATGAATGTGAAGAATGCTGTGAAAAAGATTTTCGTCTGATTCAGAATTGAAAAAGTCAAGGAATCAAGATTCCTGTATGAGATCTGCAATAAACTGTTCTGCAATGCATAAATGGCTGCAGGAAGTCCTGATGCAGTCAGGGATCCCATCAACGTCCACTCTTTTGATAACCCCTTCAGAGTACCATCTCTTGCCATGAGAATAAGAGCACATACGACCTAAAAAGTAAAGAACATAGAACAAAAGCATGCGAATTTTCAGAAACAGTATTACATAAATGAAAAAACTATGAAAAGTAGAAAGGGGAAAATCGATCAGGTACCTTAACAATCTCGCACGTCAAAACAGATGAAGTTACAATAACGTCCTTCCTGTAAAAACAATAACGATGAGCATGATATCATACCAAGTAAACCAAACCATGACAGAGAGAATCAATCCATTAGTAACTGTATAAGAAGAAACAAACAAGTGGACTAGTGACCAAGCCTACTAGGTTCTAACTATCCATACCACTTTGCTGTTAGCTTAGCTTCATAATTCCAGCATATATGTCGAAATCAGCCCAAATATCAAATGCTAGATTACACGAAGCATTACATCGTACCCTGAATAACTAATATGAACAACCACCCCAAAGCACCAATATAGCAAACTAGTAGATTCAAATTCATCTATAACGCTTGAGACAGTAGAAAAATGACATAGTAGAACAGTCATCATCGTCTTTTCTCACAGTAACAACAGGAATACATCGTAATCGTAGCATATAGCTTCGAATTGTAAGTTTGTTTCACTATTCAGAACCACAATTCGCAGATTGAATCGATAAAAAGCAGACAAAACAGATGCCAGAAATCGAACTGCATAAAAGTAAAATTCAAAAAACTGAATCTCGCATTTCCCGAAATAAAGCACGAAATCACATAGTAAGAACGGGAGTAAGAGCACCAACAACAGCGATTTTGAGAAGCATAGGTTGGTTCCCAGAGATGATTACCCGATGCAGCGTTTGGAGATCAGAGGCTGGGCTCCGTACTGAAGCGTAAGCAGAATGGAATAAAACAAAACTTTAGTGCCCATACTCGACGGACTCTTTGCTCCGTTAGCCGTCGCCATGAATCTCCTCCGGCCACCGAGAGAATGAATACAGATGATTGATCGCCTTCGCTTTGGGTCGAGGATGGCTTTGAACAAGGCTGCTTTTTCACTTTTTTCTAACAATTGTATTTTGGGACGTCGTTTTCTCAACGAAGCAACCACTGGAACGGCGTCGTATTTGTTTGACGATTATAAAACATAATTATGAAACTTTTTTTTCTTTTCTTTCGGAAAGGAAATTTGCAAGATTATCCACATTAGCTTTTGTAACTTTAATTGTTTGTGTCTATTATACAAAATTATTATTCACACCATTTGAAGGTAATTTTGAAGAGGAAAGTAATACAAATATGATATTCCTTTTGATTCCTTAAAATTTGTTACAATAACTAAGATTTATTTGTTATCATATTCAGACATACTGTATGTTTTTTCTTTTCATTCTCAGCAAAACAATAACAGAACAAAACTTAAGTTAAAAGAAAGAATAAAAAAGGAAGTTACCTTTATGTGATTTCTATGTCTTCAAGACTTCAATCAGTCAGACACACTATAGCTAAACTCTTTATAGTCGTTGAAATAGTGAAATTTTAATGAAGAAAACTAATTTACAGTTTCAAATATATATATGAGGTAGCCATACAAAATCATAGGAAAATCTACAAGTTTTTTTCTTTCTTCCAATCCATGCACTTCTTAAGGTCACCAAGAACACTATGACAAACATGTTTATTTGAAAGCATAATGTGAAAAGTGAAAAGCATAATAATGTAGAAAGGTTAATCAATGTCAGAACAGAGAAGATCATAACTTGATTGTTCCTTTACCACCAAACTAGCAATGGAATTATATCCCTTCATATCGATTCAACGTGGCAGAATGAAGATAATGCGATTTCAAACATTGATCAAGCCATAATATGAATAGTTGAGCCGTTGTTACATTCGTTCATCAACCCGTGATTTCGTAACGCGAAAGGCCAAAACACTATTAATAAGTTCCAAGTTCTTGACAACAACAACAAAAAAAACCAATGGACCTCGTGACAATGATCCATTGGTCTTGGATACGAATCTCTCCCAATCACAAAAATACGAGTAACAAACAAAACACAAAACAGAAATAAAGATTAGGGTTAAAAATCTTTAAAAATGTCCAAATCAACGGCTGCGATTGAAAGCCACCCTATATAAAAAAAATTATAATACTCAGTTCTCAGAGAAGACCATTGTTTGTTGTTCGTTCTCGTTGCCACCACACTCACACAATGTGTGGGATTCTCGCTGTTCTTGGTTGCATCGACAACACTCAAGCTAAACGTTCTCGTATCATCGAGCTCTCTCGCAGGTACTCTCTCTCTCTCTCTATCTTCTGTTTCATTCAATCAATCACCCATGATCAACTTGTTCTGGTCAATCGATGAAGGGAAGGCTGCGCATTGTTACTGAAGAATCGTTTGAATTGGGATAATGTTTCAACTTTTTTACGAGGGAATGTGTTGGTTTACTCGTTCAAATAGATTTGGCTGCAAAATGTTTTGATCTTTGTGTAGAAGATGACCAACATACGTAGACCTGAATTGATGTTTAAATTGATTACTTTCATTTGTGCAGGTTGAGGCACAGAGGTCCTGATTGGAGTGGACTCCATTGTTATGAAGATTGTTATCTTGCCCATGAGCGTTTAGCCATCATTGACCCAACTTCTGGTGACCAACCGCTCTATAACGAAGACAAGACCATCGCTGTCACGGTACTTTCTCTTGTCTTTGAAACAATGTCAATTACTATCATGTGTGAACAAATGTCAAACGCTAGACCTTTGTTGCGTGCTTGTCAATTGTACCATCTGAATAGTAAATCAAATGTGCTAATGATGTCAGGTCAATGGAGAGATATACAACCACAAGATTTTGCGTGAAAAGCTTAAGTCTCATAAATTCCATACTGGTAGCGACTGTGAAGTCATTGCACACCTTGTAAGTATGTGTAATTGGGAAAAGACTGAATTGTTGCTTCTGTATTACTGAGCATCTATCTCTATTGTTGCATTTTGTTCTGTCTTGCAGTACGAAGAACATGGAGAGGAATTTATCGACATGTTGGATGGAATGTTCGCGTTTGTCCTTCTTGATACACGTGACAAAAGTTTTATTGCTGCAAGGGACGCCATTGGTATTATCCCATTATACATTGGATGGGGTCTTGATGGTATGATCTAACATTTCCTTGAGAAATTCACATCAGTAGGGTTAAGCTTATTCTATCTTGTCTAATCAATTACTTTTCTAATATATCCTTTTATAGGCTCTGTCTGGTTTGCTTCCGAGATGAAAGCGCTTAGTGATGATTGTGAACAGTTTATGTCTTTCCCTCCTGGCCACATCTACTCAAGTAAACAAGGTCTGTATACCATTAAACTCCACATTTAGTCTATCGTAATGGGTTTCCATTTGTAATAAACTCAAAGCAGAAGTTTCCTGAAATGCCTTTATTGCTTCCTTGTAGGAGGACTTAGGAGGTGGTACAATCCTCCGTGGTACTCTGAGCAGGTTCCTTCAACCCCGTACGATCCTTTAGTTCTGCGCAATGCTTTCGAGAAGGTATGTTTGGAGATATGAATGTGATTCTTGAAACTAGTACTCTGAGCAATTTTAATTTCGTCAAGGTCTTAAAACTGGTCTGTCTTGTTCTGAATAGTGTTTTGAAATACGAATGTGATTCTGTAATCTGAGCTTTTTTCAGGCTGTTATAAAGAGACTTATGACTGATGTGCCTTTTGGAGTTCTCCTATCTGGAGGATTGGACTCCTCTCTCGTTGCTGCAGTAGCATTACGCCATTTGGAAAACTCGGAAGCTGCTCGTCAATGGGGTTCACAATTGCACACGTTTTGTATCGGTTTGAAGGTCATCACAAATTCTGAGTTTACTATCAGCTTTCTTAATGGACTGTATACTCTTCAAGAGTCTAATTATATATTTCTGTTTTTGTTTTCAGGGATCCCCAGATCTTAAAGCTGGCAGAGAAGTTGCTGACTATCTTGGAACTCGACACCATGAGTTTCAGTTTACAGTTCAGGTATAAAAAATTCCTGGAATCTGATTCATTATCATTCTTTTTCTTTCAAAAATACGGCTTAATATCGTATACTCTTATGGCAATTTTCAGGATGGGATAGACGCAATCGAGGAAGTCATCTACCATATTGAGACCTATGACGTGACAACCATAAGAGCTAGCACCCCGATGTTTCTTATGTCCAGAAAAATTAAATCTTTAGGTGTAAAGATGGTTCTTTCTGGGGAAGGTTCTGATGAAATTCTGGGAGGATACTTGTACTTCCATAAGGCACCCAACAAGAAAGAATTTCATGAAGAAACATGCAGAAAGGTATTTCCTTTTCACCAGATCAAGAACTTATTTTTTGGTGATCAAGAACTTATTTCTGATGATCTGACTTTTTATGCATTGGTTTACTTACAGATCAAAGCTCTCCACCAGTTTGATTGTTTGAGGGCAAACAAATCAACTTCTGCTTGGGGTGTTGAAGCTCGTGTGCCTTTCCTAGATAAAGAATTTTTAAATGTCGCAATGAGCATTGATCCAGAATGGAAGATGATCAAGCCTGATCTCGGGAGGATTGAGAAGTGGGTGCTACGCAATGCCTTTGATGATGAACAACGACCTTATCTACCAAAGGTGTGTTTACAAATAACTAAAGCCGTTAATGTGCCTGTTTTTTTTTTTTATAATATACTCTGTAATTTCATTTTGTAATGTTCTAACAAAGTTCCTCATATTCTGGTAAATTCAGCATATTCTGTATAGACAGAAAGAACAGTTTAGTGATGGAGTTGGGTATAGCTGGATTGATGGTCTGAAAGATCATGCAAACAAACATGTAAGAAAAATCATTCTTAAAGGATTATTTCGATAATTGTTAGAAAAAAATTGACATAAACTAACCTTTTTTGTGGTATAGGTATCTGATACTATGTTATCTAATGCAAGCTTTGTCTTCCCGGATAACACACCTCTGACAAAAGAAGCTTACTACTACAGAACCATCTTCGAAAAGTTCTTCCCCAAGGTAAAAATATGCCATAAAATGTTCAAAAATTAACTTGCGTGCTCTGCTGATACGTGTTTATTGTTTCCTGAGCAGAGCGCTGCAAGGGCGACTGTACCAGGAGGGCCAAGTATAGCTTGCAGTACGGCGAAAGCTGTAGAATGGGATGCAACATGGTCAAAGAATCTTGATCCGTCAGGCCGTGCGGCTCTTGGAGTTCATGTTGCAGCTTATGATGAGAATAAAGCTGCGGGTAAGGGTGGACCAGATTCAGTAGATTGTCTTGCTAAGAATGGATTATAGAAGAAAACGTCATCACAGGCGTTGTTTGAGACAATTAATACACGATTTCTACATTTGTGCCTAAGTTTCTGCGTATGTTCTTGTTCTTGTTTGTTTAAGACAAATTCATGTAAAGTTTGAACGTTTGAGTTGATGAATCCTAGCTTGTTTTCATTACAAAGCTTGTCTTCTCTACAACGTTTTCTATTTGGCTTGGCTTGCTACTAGCACAGGTTTTGTCTTGTTTAAATAACTAACTCAGTAATTATCAGGTAGGCAAGTAGGACTCCGTGGCCCAATGGATAAGGCGCTGGTCTACGAAACCAGAGATTCTGGGTTCGATCCCCAGCGGAGTCGGTTTCTCTTTTTGAAATGTCCATCTTTTTTCTCTTTTTTTTTGGTGTGGAAGAAGAAATTTCAGAATTCAGAGACTATCATTTATTACATAAAGAAGACAGATGACCTAACCTGATTAGTTGTTGTATGTACCTGTTTGGACCTTTTTTTTTTTCCTTCCCCTTGTATTAATAATTTTTGAGTGAGACGAAGCAACTGCTCCCCTCTCAGAATTAGCTTAGCGCCAACCACGTGAATCTGAATCCTCTTCTGTCCTTTTCGTATAGTTAAGAAATGCATAAAACGAAAATCTCGTTTCCTCTAATATATCAATCGTCAGTTCTCTCTATAGCTGTTCCAATAATATGATCTTTAGATTTAATTATTATTTACTTACAGTATATCAAACGCCATTATGTTAAGTGTGAACTTAATCCTCCTCGCCTTCCCTTAGTATTTTGTAGATAACAAAGATTTAGTTTCATTTTGGACATATCCTTTGATTTAAAAAATTACATAGTCAAACGTGACTGTACACATTTTGAATAATCATAATAAGTTACAGTCTCCTTAACCCTCACGTTTTACATCACATTTGGGGAAAAAATGTTCTGGACCGTCAATATCAATGAATTCATATTTATCATTTATTTATAGCAAAAAAAAAAAAATTTGTAGGTTTTTTAAGAAAACAGTTTAACTTGATTTGGTATAGTATCTCTTTTGCATTATTGATTTGGTAATTACAGCCTGGTTTTGAAAGAAAAAAAGATTGTAATTACATAATTGCTTACTTTATAGTACAACATTAAACCCACTTAAGATATTGTATGAATTTTTTAGCATAAAAAGAGGAAAATCAGCTGCTAAAAAGAGGAAAATACTTATATATTTATTATGTATTAGTAGAAGAATATGTACATGTTCAATTATTTACATTATTATTATAAAATGCTTTAACTTACAATAACTTTGAAAATATCAAAAAATTAAATAATTTTGGGATTCTCCCGTTACATAAGTAGGACGACGTGCGTCTGCTTCTCTCTCATTAGTCATTACAATCAAAACCTACACACAGAGACAGAGAGATCTAAAGAGTTTTAGACACTGATCCCAAGAAAAAATGGCGTCTCTCAAAGTCCCAAGCAATGTTCCTCTTCCCGAAGAAGACGCTGAGCAACTCCACAAGGCATTCTCAGGTCTCTCTCTCTCTCTTTTCATCACTTGATCTAGATTTAGTTTCTTCCTCTTGTACGATCTAATCAATATAATCTGTTTTGATATACACTTTAATGAAAAAATGTTTGATCCTTTTGATTTCTTATGTACCCTTTAAGAATTATCTTTGAATTTGTCTTCTTTTTCTTAGATTTTGTTGATTTTGTCACGACTACATTTGGTGATTAGGGATTTACTATGTTCTTGTTTGACCTGCTCTGTGTAATCCATTAGTACAAGATCAGGTCCCATGATGTCCTAAGTGGTTGATTATGATGAAAGTAGGTTTCTTTTTGTTCTTTAGCCATCTTTTCGAAAATGACATTCAAACTTGTTATGTTGGTGGTCAGGTTCTCCTTAGGAGATCTGCGACATGACGTGTCTTAAAGTGTTTTTGTTTTTTGTTTTTTTTGGATTTGGTCTGAAACAGGATGGGGTACCAACGAGAAGCTGATCATATCAATCCTCGCTCACAGGAACGCAGCACAACGGAGCTTAATCCGCAGCGTTTATGCAGCTACCTACAATGAGGATCTTCTCAAGGCGTTAGACAAAGAGCTTTCTAGTGACTTTGAGGTTTCTTACTCTCTTTTCTTTCCTTTGGGTCTCTGAAAAATATTCTTATCTGACTGATCTGGTGTTGTGAAACTGTATTTTTGGTGAATTTTGTAACAGCGAGCTGTGATGTTGTGGACTCTTGATCCATCAGAGAGAGATGCATATCTAGCTAAAGAATCCACCAAAATGTTCACCAAGAACAACTGGGTTCTTGTTGAAATTGCTTGCACAAGGTCTGCTCTTGAGCTTTTTAAGGTCAAGCAAGCTTACCAAGCTCGATACAAGAAATCACTTGAGGAAGATGTTGCCCATCACACATCTGGTGACCTTCGTAAGGTAAATGATCAATCGATAAACAGAACCTTGCTTGTTTGTTTTGGATATGGTACACTTTTTTTCTGACATCTTTTGAGTCCTCTTTTGTGTAGCTTTTGCTTCCTCTTGTGAGCACTTTCAGGTATGAAGGTGACGATGTGAACATGATGCTTGCAAGATCTGAAGCCAAGATACTTCATGAGAAGGTCTCCGAGAAAGCTTACAACGATGATGACTTCATCAGAATCTTGACCACCAGAAGCAAAGCACAGCTCGGTGCAACACTCAACCACTACAACAACGAGCATGGAAACGCCATTAACAAGGTCAACTTGACAACCAACTGCGTTTTTGTGTTATACTGCTTTGTTCAGACAGCTGATTATGTGGTAAATTTTGCAGAACTTGAAGGAAGAGTCGGATGACAATGACTACCTGAAACTACTCAGAGCTGTAATTACATGTTTGACATACCCTGAGAAGCATTTTGAGAAGGTTCTGCGTCTATCAATCAACAAAATGGGAACAGACGAATGGGGACTAACCCGAGTGGTGACTACACGAACTGAAGTTGACATGGAACGCATCAAAGAGGAGTATCAGCGAAGGAACAGCATTCCTTTGGACCGTGCTATCGCCAAAGACACTTCTGGTGATTATGAGGACATGCTTGTTGCTCTTCTCGGACATGGTGATGCTTGAAACTAGTTCGATTGTTTCTTACTGCCTGGTTTGCTTTTAATAAAAAGAGTTGTGAAACTGCTTCTGCAACTATTTGTCATATATCGTTTGAGTTTGTTAATTTGAATCAAAATCTATGTTTCTTTCTTTAAATACAATCTAAAGCACAGGCTAAAGCAAAAGCTTCATAATCTAAACAACTGCAGCTTCCACAATCTCTACTACTACACACACAACAAAGCTTCTCCAATTTCTTCTCTGTTTCTTCTAAAGCTTGGATCTTTAAAGCTATCTTCAACAGCATAGGCTTTTCATCTACTAAAACCCGATTTTTCGAGTCACTCATCACCACAAATCTCTCAATCTCCATGCCGGGCGACTCGAAAACTGATTCCCATGAAACCTCTCCTCTTCCCACGACCTCAGATCTTGATGACTTCCTAAGAAACGACGATGTTTTCTTCCTCCGTAGCTCGAATACTAGTCTCTGTTGCTTCAAGTCTTGGACTGCTGCTTCGTTCCCTTGACACTCGAGACCAAAAGATTGATCCCACATGAGCTGGTCTGATTTCGAAGAGACCTCTCTCGTGTTTACTTGAATTTTTCTGTTGTATCCTGCAGAGAGATAGAATCTAACGAACAGAGTACTAGCTTTAGACTTTTTGATCTCTACAACGTTTCTTGCTTCTACTATTCTCACTTGGCATTTTAGTGAACGAAGTTTCATCTTCATAACACCCATTTTTCTTTTCTTGCTTACAAAATCAAATCAAAAATCAAGAATCAAAGATGATGGTATTGTTGATGGATACGTTTAGATTGAACAAAGACTCTGTATTTATAGAAGCTTAGGTTGGAGGATGATCAAAAATATTCTAAAGTAATCCATGAGAATTACTTTTGTACTATTTCTTAATGATAGTTGTAAGATTCGGGATCTTCGTATATGTAAGTTGTCATTGATTTATCCATTCAAGAATTCCAAAGGACAACACACTTTGTCACTTTCTGAGAATATAAAATATACTCCACACTACAGAAGGTTATATAAAAAAAAAAGACATGTGTGGACTAGATCATGGCTTGGTGCACATCTTCGTTACTCTAGTCCAATGAAGTTAAAGCTCTTAGTGTGCATTGCAATACGATGATCCGTATAATAATAATATTGAAGTGAAAAAAAAAGCTTTGATCTTCTAGATCCCAAGATCTTATCAAGAATCAAACTCCAAATATTAAATTGATCCCATAGCTTTTTTTTCATTTCACAAATTTGTATGTGCGGTCTTGTGACTCTCTCACAAAAAAATTTGGAGTTTGTGAAAAGGCTGACTACAAGGAAATAGACACTGTAAGCCCATGTTTGTAGGCCCGTTTTCAGTATTTGCTCAGTCTTTTTGGCCCACCGTTATCAGGTCAATTATATATACTCATCAAGATGACATTTTAATTTGTGTTTTCTTTATATCAACCGACAACTATAATTATTTGTAGGATGATGAATATGTTTCTGAAAATTTGGTCTTTCTTTGTTAACTTATCCGAGTCCGAAGCTCAAATGATCAAACCATCCACCACATGTAAAAACATTCGGCTATTCGAAAACTCTGTAAGATGATTCTCTTGAATAGTCCAAAATGATATATTTAGTTGATTGTTATATCTGCAGTATGGATTATATAATTCATGTTATATGATATTTTAAACTGATGATAATATTTCTGTAGATTGTAGAACAATAAGATTATTTATTTTCTTGTAACTTTTAAAATATTAGATGGGAATTTAGCCGGCCAACTAGAACTTTCTCTATAAAAAAGAGAAAAATCTTTTGGTTTTCGTCACTCAAGATTCGATACGAATTATTTTATAGAATTTCTCACAACTGATCGATCCCTAGCTATCACAAATTATATTTTCTAAATATACATTCAAGAATCGGTCCATCTGATATTTTTATAGAACTCTTTTGCAATTATTATTTGTTATAAACAAGAAGTACCATTTAAACCCAAAAAAAAAAAAAAGTAGTACCACCTAAATATATAAACACATCAATATATTGATATTACATTACATATATTATTACACACCACAGACGAAAATCACACGAACAAAAGCAAATTCGACTACTCTACAGCTCATAATTAAATTATAATCCTTAAGTGCTTATGGTCAAGCTACATTGTATATGATCGCTACATCTTTTAATCTCATTTTCTATTGTTTTTTTTTCCTCGACTTTTTCATCATTCTTATATACAACAAAACGCAAACATACTAATTTAACCCATAAGGAAAAGTTATTATTATACAGAGATCATTCATGCATGATTGATTTATATACGAATTGGTTTCTTGGATGCGACTAAGCCGCTTTTCGCTTTTCTCTCGTCCAGCTTAATTTGCTTCTCTCTGCACTCCAAGCTACAAAATGCGTTGTTCCCTCTACAAAAACGATACAGTATATAACATTTTTATTAATATACAAAAACATGTTCATTGAACCATATAACGGTAAATTGAGTTGATGAAAGGGTTTGTGAAACTAATTAATAAAGAAAAAAAAATACATAAAAGGTTAAAAACGTATTCGTATTCGTACCTATACATGTAAATGTCACGATGATGGCAGAGACTTCGATTGCAGAGGCTACAAGTCTTCAAGAAATCATCGTAGTTAGTAGCCATCACCACCTTCGTCGGAGTATGATGATGTTGATGAAAGGTTAGATGATCGGACGGCTGAGATGCATCATAGATCGTGGGTGTATCGAGTGTGATCATATTCATGCTTGTTGTTCTCTTGATCAGAGATCCATGACGCTTTCCTAACACCATCCTTTCTCTCTCTATATATATATATATCTCTCTCTCGAAGAAGAAGAAGAAGTGTGAAGTGAAAGAGGGAGATAAAGCAAAGGGGGAGGAAGAAGAGAAGAAAAACACAAGCTATTTAAAAGAAAAGCAATGGAAGAATCTAATAATAGAGAGATAATATTGTTTTATTACTATAACATTCTTTTACTTAGCAATTATCATTATTTTCTTTTCTTATATAGGTATAACTAGGTTCGGACCCGCGCTACAGCGCGGTGGAAAATTACCGGGCTTTTAGTCATTTGTACGTTGCAAGATAATTTATTTGTGTTTACTTTACTTTATTTTGATTATTAATTAAATTCTATCATTTTAGATTGTATTTTTGTGTTGGTTTCGAATATGTTCAAAATTATTTAAATTGTATGATTTTAGTTGGATTGTTAATTTTAGAACAATATGTGACATATATACATGTATAAATATTATACTATGAATCATTTTTAAAATTTAGGGATTGACCCGCGGTATACCGCATAATCATAAATACATGATTTTAACTTGGACCTTTCATGCAGTTTTGTAAAGTTGCAAATCTCTAGAATAAACAAATAAAGAGCCAATGATTTCTTATTTCTTATCGTGTTAAAATGTAAAATCTGTGTTTATGTTACAATTTCTGGTAGCAGAAACTTATTTATATAGATAATATTTTCTTAGAGTTAGGTTAGCGTTGAAGAAAATATTAGCTTTATAATCAAGCCAGAAATTCGAAACTATTG